TTGTCCTTGGAGGTAATGCTAAGCCCCAAGCTTGTTGAATTGGTCACCTTATCATCCTCAGAAGCATTTTGACCCTCAGAAAGAACTTTGTCTAAATTAGCCGCTTTCAACACAACAACACTTTCCATCCATTTCCAAAACACATTTTCAGACTCTTTCCACTTTAAAAGATCTTCAATTTTGGAATTGATGTCTTCTAGCTGGAATGTCTGTTTCTCTTCATTTGTCCACAAGAGTTGGGCTTCTGCTGGTGTCAGGTGATTTAATCCTGGTTGCAATGCCATTCCTTGAGTAGACACATGCAACTTGCAGGCCAATCTATTTTGTTCTCTTTGCAAGGCATGCAAATGCCGGCACATTAACCTCAATTTACCATGAATCAAAACTTAACTTCAGTGATGGTATGGGAACCGATGTTTCAACATAATATGGCCATAAGCCTTGTACAACACAGACATACATATATACATTACATACATGCATGCATGTAAAGAAATATTCTTCATTTATAACACCAACAATAACGTTAATAATTACAAGTGAGTTTATTCAAAAAATTCATGTACAAATTATTGATTATTTCAAGACAGGAACACATATCAAATGCTAAAATTCATCCAAAATTGAGTCTAGTTCCATTTCAAATTTTCTTTATAAGTTGACATTTTTTTCATTTATGTGAGAAATATTGTCTTTGAATAAGTTTTTCTTTTTCTTTTTTTTTTTTTTTTTTTTTTTAAATCAGTATCACTCCAAGCAGGGCAGTACAGCCACCAACATGCAAGGGATTATAAAGTGTAGAGGAATTAGGGATAGAAACATTAGTAATGAGTAGAAACAGAAAAGAGTAATTAGGAGGACAGTAGATAGCAATTGACATTGCATTTAAATTTTTGCAGATTAGAGTTGGCTGAAAAGCATGGAGCCGGAAGGGAGTTCTACAAGCGAGATGTGTGAGAAAAGAAACTGTTAGCATAAAATTTACAGTTACATCTAGCTAGCTCAACTGTAAATTGATGAGATCTTACCACCAGTCTAGTATTGTGCTTAAATTCATAAAGTCTAGATACCATAGTCTGAACAATTGTTATGAAAGTATTTTTAAAAAAAGACACAGAAAGGCAACCTTATGGTAGTGGGCAAGTGATAGAAGCTGAGCTGCCAGATCAGGACTAATAATATTGCTGATTCTTTTTTGGATTTTATCAAGGAGCACTAGATAAATAGCAGGAGCACCAGGCCATATGTGGCAGCAATATTCTAAGCATGAATGAATGGAAGACATAGATATATAAGATAGATTCTAGAGAGACAAATTGACTCACTCGACACAGTGAACTGATATTCTTAGCAGCTGACTTAGTAATGGATTCAACATAGTCGTTCTGCTCCATGTCAGCTGAGAACATTAGCCCAAGAAGGCGCAATGTGTCACTCTTTTTTGGTGGTTAGCATCAATCATGCTGATGGAAGGCAGAGAGGGGTCTCTCAGATGATTAATGGAGAGAAGTTTAGTTTTGGAGGCATTAAAATTGACATGCCATTGACAGTCTTGAGATCGTTTTACATCAGCTGCCATTTTGCCATCGTTGTACATCAGCTGCCATTTTGACCTTGTCAACTGATCATCCTTATTATAAAAGCAGGAGTAAATGGTAGTGTTGTCAGCGTAGATGTCAAGTTGAGAACTGATGTCACTGGCATGGTTCTTAATGAAGATTAAAAACAGCGTAGGACCAAGGGTGGTGCCCTGGGGGACACCTGTATTAGTACGAAAGGATGTAGACGAGTGGTCGTTCAGGATAACTTTCATTTCACAATTTGATAGGAACAACTGGATCAGCTCAAAAATGTGTGCAGAGATACCATAACTTTTCAACTTGATCTTTTTTCTTCTTGTCTTCAAGTTTATGATTTTACTGCTCAGCTCAGGATAGGAGTTGTCCAGACCGAGTGAGAGGGGGAACTAAAATGTCTTATTTTAAACTTTGTCAAATTTTGTGTGTATGTGTATGCGTGTGAATACATTAAAGGGCACATGTCAATCACACATGCACAACAGAGACATCTGCATTTGTTCATATGCATTATATAGGTGCATGTATGAGGGAGAGAAAATCAGCTCTTCTTTTGTAAAATATATGAAAAAAATTTTTGTCAAGGCACATCTTTATTGTATTTTTAGTCTTACTGTTTGTATTCTTTATTCTGTGCAATAAAAACAAAACGTCACAGTGCTGATGGCATCTCAATAATATTAGGTTGTTCAGAAAATAATGTCCTATTTTAGAATCAACTTTTGGCAAATATGGACAAACATACCTGGAATGAGATAAAGTGAGAAAAGGATGTTTTTCCCATGACATCGCTTTTTTTATCTACCTTCACTCTTTGGCAAATATTTATTTTTTTAAATTAGTTCAAAGGAGCCTCATTAAATTTGAAAATAAACAAATCTCCTCTCTCCTTATTTCTTTTTTTTTTTCAATTTCATCAGGGCCCAAGAATAGGCTGCAGCCGATACTATCCTATATATAAATCTTGCTATATATATATATATATATATATATATATATATATATATATATATATATCAGTGTGTCTAAGGTTAGATATGCAAGTGTTTTTAAGCCTGGATCGAAACATAACCGATTTGATATCAGTCAGAGTTTCTCACCCTTAGGCAAGCAGCAGAGAAGGGGAATTTTAATGCATTATATACAAGATATAAGCATTCCCAGCTACAAGAGTGCTCAATTCATAGTGAAGAGCTTTTAGCGTTAATCAGTAGCAACCGACAAATTCCCTTTCTTCCAAAGTATTCAACCTATGAGAGGGGGTGTGTGTGTGTGTATATATATATATATATATATATATATATATATATATATATATATATATATACACAAATATAATGAGAACGAAAAATAATATATAAATTCTAATGTTCACAGTATTGATTCTAAATAGGGCTTATAACCGATAGTAGTGCAATAATTATTTATTATAATTTTTTCATATAGACAAAACAATTTACTCACAACAAAGGTGCATCTTTGTCGTGAGTAAATTGTTTTTGCCTATATGAAAAATTTATAATAAATAAATATATATATATATATATATATATATATATATACATATATGCTCACCATATTGAGTTTGACCATGATTTTGATTTAAAAAATGCTAATTTAATTAAATGCAAATGAAATTTACTAAGAAGAAAGTGTATAGAAAGTGCTTTAATTACTAGATCATCCACAGAAAATTTGTGTCTGGGTTCTAACAACATTTCTCCTTTCTTGGCATATCTTCTATTATCACAATGTGGGATACTTAATGACAAAAGTGATAAAAACATAAACATAAACAAAAAGAAACTAAGTGGAATTGGCTAGATTATAGACCCAGACACATATGAAAAATAAATAAATAAAAATTTAAATTTAAAAATTTAAAATTTTCAGTATTCCTTCCACTTCAAGTTCATGTGTAGTTACATCAACAGAAACATCACTTTTATCCAAAATTTTCCCCATTTTTTCACTTATTTTCCTTTCATTGGTATATAAAAATTTATACCTCATTTTCTCCCAGATCCTTAAACGTATTTTAATAACAGTGTCCGTTTTTAATGAAAATTAGAATTAGAATTTATAATTTTTATTTTCAATTTTAAATGCAAGTTTGAGCCTAAATTCAAATTCAAGATTAGATTATCGCGCAATTAAATATTTAACAACACTAATAATTCATCCAAACAACAGAATATCTTGCGAGACCCAGAAATATTAATCAAACGGTTTTAATCAAATGGTGTAAATTTAAATTAGTCCCTGATCAGATTGTATAGAGCATGTAACTCCAAGTTGTAATCTCGGCGTGGGGTATTATCTATATTTATTAATATATACTTAATAGCTCTGTTATTTAGCATTGAGCACTGTTTTTCTTACATTAAAGGATATATATATATATATATATATATATATATATATATATATATATATATATATATATATATATAAAGAAATATAGTCTTAAGGTGTGCTATATTTATGGGATAAAGTGCTCAATATCAAAGATAGAGCATGTGTAAAAGTGAACATTGAAGTCAACACTTAGAGGCGACAGTCTGTTTCATGCTAGACGCAATCATCAGGCCTGATGATTGCATCTAGCAGGAAACAGACTGTCACCTCTAAGTGTTGACTTCAGTGTTCACTTTTATATATATATAATTTGCCCTTCTCTCTGCTGGGTGTTGATGGTCTAGGGATTAGAATCTCTGAGTGATATCAAATCAATTGGGTTTCAGTCCTGGCCTGAAGTTATCAGATGTCTAGCCACACCACTAATGAGCTGTGATACAGTGAAACAGTCTGTCTGTGGAAGACTATAAATATATATATATATATATATATATTATATATATAATTACATGTGAAAGGAATTAAAATTACCTCATTGTTATGATCATTTCACCTTACAGACTAAATGAAATTAGAATTTTCATTTAGTTGTATCTTACTACCTTGATCAGTTTAAAAATTCTTATAGGTAATCTCAATCTGTAAGGTGAAATGATCATAATAATGAGGTAATTTTAATTCCTTTCATATGTAATTTATATGTGCTGTTGAATAAATACATTGAGCTCTCTTTGTGTATCAGTTTTACTTGGATTCACTTGGATTATATACCAATGGATAGTAAATAAATAGTAGTTATATATATAATTATATATATAATTCGATTCATTTTCATTCAGATTGATTTTTTTTAATTTATTTACAATGGTAAATATAATGTTCCGATGAAAGCAAATATCATTTGTGGCAATCATTTGATGTTTTCAACGTGGAATTTATTTTTATCGGAGAAGAGGTTAATTTCTCACCGTTTCGCACGCGGTCCGAAAATTGTTTAAAAAAGATAATAAAAAAAAACGTGGTTCTGACTTTAGTTAACTTTTTTGATATTATTTGTGCTTAAAGATGGGAAAGAAAAACAAAAAAGATAACAAAGGAAAAGGCAAAGAAAAAACCGCTGCCAAGACAGAAAAGAAGGCGGAAAAACGTTTGAAAAAAGAACTTGAAGCTAAAGGAGAAGTAAGAAGTTTTACTTGCAAGTTTTCATTCCTTTTTCCTTGAACAAGTTATTTTTAATAATCACTGTTTGAAGCAGAGATAATAAAAATTGAATCAATTTCATAATTTGTTTAGGCAATAAACAACACATAAATCAAAGAATTATAAAAATTCGTGTAAGTGATTAAACAAACCAAAAAAAAACTTTACCGAGAGGTTTATTACGTTACAACTTCTTGGAACTGTTTTCTTTTTAACTCCCCCAAAAATCAAATGATCATCATTGTGCAAGATTATTTACGACTTTTTCCACTGACCTGAAAAATTCTGGTGATCTTACTTAATAATAAGTAATTGAAGTATAACAAAAAGATCTGCGTTGGAAATTTAACAAATTAACAAACAAGTCTTTTTTTACTCAATGATGAGATTTCATGTGCAGATGCTTGTCTCAAAAAATGACATGGACACGAAGTTTAAAATCATTTTTTGTCTCTTTTCAATAACAATGAATAACGTTGAACAATTTCTTAACAGTATAAAAATAAATATAGTTTGAAGCGAAGATACTAAAATAAATTGCTGTCAAAAAAAAAAATGATGATAATTAATTCCTCTTAAGAGGCCAGCTTTTCTCATCAAAGAGGATCATTGATAAATTTTTTAAAATGTTACTTAAAAGCAGAATTATTTAAAAATGAGGTAAAAACCGTAAAAAATAGTTTAAAACTTAAAATTTTTTAAATTATGTTTTATGGTTTAAAAACATATTTTTAAAATAGGTACCTCCACTGGTTCGCTGGTGAAAAATACATTGATTTGGAAATTCTTACAAAAATCAAATAATTGTCGGATTTTAATGAAACTTTCAGGACTTATTCAGTAATGAATGAAATTATTTTAGATATGTCTGTAATTTTTTTTTACACTTAATTTTATGAAATGTTTAGTTACTTAAAAAACAGAACTTCTTGGAAAATATAAAAATATTCAATTCAAACAGAAACACTACTTACCAAAAATCCGTCCTGAATCTTAAAATCAAAAAAATAAAAATGCAATGAAACTAAGACATTATTTAATAAAAGCTTTTAATTGCTTTTATGAATAAGATTTAAAGAAACTATAAACTTTATAAAAAAAAAAAAAAAAAAATTGATCAATAATGAATTTTTACAAGATTTGTTTTCATTTTTTAAAATTTTAATTAGAATAATTTTAAACTTTAAAATCTTTTAAAATTCTATTTCAATGGTGTAAAGGTTAGGGGATATTTTATTAAGTAAAAACTATATTTAGGTTACTAATCATAAATCAAAAGTGAAAACGCTTATTACAATTTAAGGTCCCTCAGTATTAAAAAAAAAAATTATCCTTTTTTTTTTTTTTTGTGCATATAAACGTGCCAATTTTTATAGATACAGATTTATCAGAAATTAAAAGCAATGTAAATTTAAAGCCAAAGTATCTAAAATTCAATAAAACAGTAGATTATAGAGAATATTTTCCTAAATTTTTAAGATTACCGAGTACTTAAAAATGGCGCTCACGTTATATATTCTTCAATTTTTTTTTACAATTATAGTCACTGTAGAAAAACATTTAGAACCTCCATCTGTCACCATGCTGTCAACAGTTTTCACTGTGTTAAAAATGCATTTCTGCGATAAACTAATAATTGTTTCAAATCAGATTAATTGAACTTTAAATCAGCTAATATTCTTCAAATGAAGTTTCAGAAAAGTTTTATTTTTTGAAAGAGTTTTTAAAGAGAATTATATTTTGATGACGGATGACTAAAAAAAATGGTACTAAAATCAGCTATTTTAGCAATTTCAAAATTAAAACTCCTTCCAGTCAATTTAAATACAGGAAAAGTATTTTGCTTATTAAAAATATTAAATTTAATTTATTCACTTGAAATTAAAACTAAAGTGAAAGCTTCAAGAAAGATTTTTAATTTTTAAAAATTAATTTTAAACCTTATCAACTTTTAAAGGAGTTTATCTGAAAGAGGAATTATACCACATTTTTTTCTTTTGACTTAATTTGAACATGTCACTGCTTTTTCAAACTTAGTTTTTAAAGTGTTTATTTTAGAAGCTTTATAGATTTCCACATTGTATTCTGATTCTGTGTTTTATATTGTTTTTTTCCAATCTATTGTACTTTCTTGTGTCAGTTCATCTCCCAAGATCGGAGATATTTTTAGAAACAGTCTTTCACATGTAGGAAATTCAACCACCCATTTTTTTTTATATTAAACATCCAAATTCTCTACAAATGATGACCTCAACAATGAAAATTAACCTCTTGATGCCTTTACACACATAGCCTTTAACCTTACCAGACACTGCCTTCATACAAATGCCCAACAACTTGATATTAGAACATCTCTGATACTACGATAATGTTGAAACAACAGTGGCCACAGAATTAATCACTGATTACACAGAAGCTGTTCTGACTATAAATTTGCCTGCATACAATACTACAAAACAAATGTACAAACTTGATTCTCCCAAATACAGGCAATTCTCAATGTTAAGCGGATCACATGAAGGTCATCATTTGTAGGGAATTCGGATATTTGCATTTTTATTTACACTATTTATATTAGGCTTAATGTTCTCATCTTTGTTGTTTTTAGAAACAACAAAGATGAGGACAATAGTCCAAATATAAATACTGTAAATTATGACAACTCCTCATCCAAGAAATTTTTTTTAAAAGTTTAGATTTTTAATATAAAAAAACTGGGCAACTGAATTTCCTACACACATTTCATAAAACATTTGTAGCTCTACATAAAAAAAATTATTTCCACAAATTGACAGATTACTTTATAATTTTTTTTTTCTGCTTATTTTTCTCTTATATTAGGAGGATATAGAGAAATTGATTGCAGAATTTCAAGAAAAAGATCGCTTAATGAACCAAGTTCTCGTAGAAAAATGTGAGCCACCAAGCATCAGGTAAGTTAGCATGTGATAATTCTGATATGAGGTATTGTAATTATTTACACTATTTACATTGTTTGGATTGTTGTCCTCATCTTTGTTGCCACATTCATGATGTTTTAGCCACTGGACACTCTGGCCTTCTTCTGGTGATTGGAATTTCAAACTAAACCCTTTATTTTGTCCTCCTTGATATCATTGAAAGTCTGAATGTACTCTGCTAACAATAGGAGGTTGAACAACTACCTGATTTTGGGGCCCTATTTGCTCTATTTCACTATATATACTGTAAATAATGGCTCAAAAAGAACCTCAATTATACTAATTTATGCCAGTGATTCCATAAAAAATTTCAGGTAATTTGCTTTTTAAGCCTTGTGCTAAATATCTAATAAAAATTTCCCAAATTATTTTTTATTCTAAATTTACATGCCTAATTTGAAAATAACAAAGAAATTTTTATAAAATCCTCCGTTTTGGAGTTATCAACAATAAAAGTTTGGATTCATTTGTGTCGTTGTTGGCTATGACATGGCAGCCATTATTGGCATTGATTGCAGCAGTGCATGTGCTATAATCAAGACAAGTGGATGTCTATTCTGCAGCGAATATATGCAAACAACACTAGTAATCACTGAGAGTGGATTCAAGTACCCCTATATCGCAATTTCACAGGAAATTTATTCCTGGGAATTCTTGATTGTGACCTAATTACTACGCACTATTTAGATTTGTTTATTTATGAGAGATTCTTGATGTCTACTGTTGGACAGTCAAATTGTACATGATCAACTAGAGAAAAATACTCCTATTTATACCCCATTCGTGGTATCTGATTGCAGTGATTGAATTCCTGTTAATTAGTCCAATATAGGAACTCTTTGATCACATGCAAAATAGAAATATAAAATAATCATGTGTAAATATTACCAATACAATTGGATTAGGTGTGAAATGGCTAAGGTGTTAAAATTTTGCAAAATTTCATCATTAAAATCAAGGTAAAATGTTTGAAAAAGGGGTGTAATTATTAAAACAAATTAGGACCCATCTGATGATCACTGTTTGTTCTGTCTAGCATAAAGAAGATGACCCAGAAATTGATAAAATAGGGTGGAATTTCTAAAAAAAAAAAAAAAATGAACAATATTGAGAGTACGAGAGCAAAATCTTGTGGTCCACTACCCACCTGTGGTACTCCAGGTACCATGGTAAACTGGTTTACCTAATAGCAGTGAACTACTGTATCCACTTTCAATTAAAAACAGTTATAATAAAATCAAGATTAATTTGGTCTTCAAACATATAATCAGGACATGAAAAACCAAAGTCTTTATCAGATTCATTCTTTGTCATTTAGGGAAAAATGACCTCCTGAGCATTCAATCAAGTATGTAAATTTTAATGTCATGCCAAATCACCTGTTGGCACCTTTACCTACCCTAACATCAAATTCACACATCTACACATTGTTATCATTGGCCCCTATTCATGTGTCAGGGATACCAGTGCCTTGTACATTGTTGATAGATTTTCCCAATGAGCAACTGCTATAGCAATCAAAGACTGTTCTCCAAGGTGTTTCAGGGTTACAAATTTTGGAACCCCCGCATGTAATCACAACTGACCATGTAAAACAATTCTTATAAGCCCTATTCCAGGATTTCATCAACTGGCTTGGTTCCAAACACATCTAGATTATTTATCACCCTGTACAAATGGCCTACTTCTATGATTCTGAAGGTTGTTAAAATCTTTTCTGTCTACAAGACCCAACATCACAAGTTGGATTGACGAATTACCTCTAATTACCCTTTCCCTCAGGAACCTTGTCAAATAAGATTTAGACTGCACACCATTTGAACTCATTTTCAGCACACCTCTATCCCTGCCAGAACAATACTTTGAAAGGACAACACTGTATTGTTTTCCTTTTCTCAATTAAATCTTAATGCTGGGTGTAATTCATTTAGCAATCCATGAAAAACCTCAGCCAACTCATCACTATAAAACACACAAAATATATCATCATATTGGAAATAACACTGAGGATTTTCAATATGAGCAATATATGCTTGTAGAAACCAACAAAAATGCTGGCTATTGTAGGACCCAATGGAAATCTTGTCTATTTGTCCGTAAATCCTATTGTTAAAACTTTTTTTTTTAATGTTGGTTTTAAAAGCTGTAATAAATTTTCTTCTGATGTCCTCTGGCCATCATCTAAAAATTGTGAAAAAATAGCCACAAAAATGAATAAGCAAGAGTAACATTAAAAAAAAAAAACCTCAAGAAATGATGGTGAAGTTGATTTATCAAATTGGGCTTTTTCATCAGAAACAGAAATTACAAAAAAGGGATGAATGCAAAGATATACTGATTCCATTGGTAAATGACAATATATTGGTTGTTCTGTATCAAATCACTCTTATGGAGGTATGATGGGGTAATGGATTGTATAATTGGAGAGTTGAGTTTGAATTCCAGTCGAGTTCATTATATTCACTTATGCACAAATACCCTTGGGAAAGGTAATGAGTGCATCTCTTCTCCCCCAACCCCCAGCTAGCAAGAAATAGCAAGACAGACTGGGTTCTATAGCCTTGGATGGCAACTGGTCAAGAAGGAAAAACTCTGAATTCAAAACCTCCAACTATGGGTAAAATAGTAGCGCAGTATGGGCTCTGTAACCATGGTTGGCAACCAGATTATGATAAGGACAACTCTAAATTAAAAATCATAGCCAGAGTTCCTAAGACAGTTTGATGTCATGTTTCGTTCTGGCAACACCTTCAACGATGCTAGTGCCAAGCTGTATTGAGTTCTGCCTTTCCCTTGGACAACATCAGTGGCATGGAGAGATGAGACATGCTAACTGGGCAAAATTGCCGATCTGGAGAGGACATAACTATGTGGGTGCAGATCTGTGGTTTCTCAACTCTGATTGATGCCATACCATCAAATCACCCAATTTTAGGGAAAATTTCCAGATCACTGTCTCAGATACTCCTGAAGAAAATCTCATGAGTTCTACTAAAGTAAAGGGAAAACCCCAAATATCTGTATCTAGTTTTTTTTATGGTCAAATCATGCTGAAAGCTCTGGTTCTTGGTCATTCACCAATGTTAAGCAATGCCAAACCTGGTCGGTACTTAGATCGGGGACAGTTTGGAACACCAGTTGCTATATACATTAGGAGAGTAAACCCCAACAAAAAAAAGAAAGAAAAAGAACCTCTGGAATATTGGGAGATGGTAAAACATGGTAGAGTATATAACAATAGACTTCTGTTTCAGGTGACATCTTATATATGCTTGGTGGAAGAATGTCACTGGCAAGGAGACACTGTCTCTTAAAATGAAACCCTGCCCCCTTTAGTTTTAATTAGGAGTTGTGACTGCTAATTTTACCAGGTTGTTTGGAATGTAAATGTAAAAAAAAAAATTGTTATTGAATCTAACCATTCAATATAATATTTCTTATTTACATTATTCGGACTGTTGTCCTCATCTTTATTGCCAAATTCGCACTGTTTCAGCTGTTGTACGCTCTGGCCTTCTTCAGGTGATTGGAATTTTGAACTTAGGGACACATGGCCCAGTGGATAAAAGTGTTGGTTGGATCCAGTGACTTGACCCAGAGAGTTGTGAGTTCAACATCTGGCTACTGCAGTAGTGAATAAAAACTTGGAGAGTTGAGTTAAAGGGAGATAACAGAGACATCAGGAAGAGGTATGGCATGTGAAACTAGAACAATCTACCCCGGTGGATGAAATAAAGGGTTCAGTTTGAAATTCCAGTCACCTGAAGAAGGCCAGAGTGTACAACGGCCAAAACATTGTGAATATGGCAATGAAGATGTGGATAACAGTCTGAACAATTTAAATAATGTAAATAACAAATATTATGTTGAATGGTTAGATTAATAACAAATTTTTTTTATAGACAAATGTTTTATCATAAATTTGATTTACAGTCTATTTTGATGTTCTTCAACTTTAATTTTTGCTTTTTAAGATGCAATGCTTCTCTGAGCAGCCACCCAGAAAAGGAAGAATTAATCCTGTTTGGTGGGGAGTATTTCAATGGGAAAGAGGTAAATCGCACAGTTTTCTCTCTTTTTGCTAAACTCTTGAAATGCAAATATAATTTTCTATTAACAACAATAAACTAGATAAAAGCATACATAATACTATTTGCAAACTTCATAACATCCACTATCCAAAACAATCTATCCAATCAGAACATGATAATAATTACAACCACATCCAAAACTATTATGGATATGATCAGAACCAAAATTATATGTAAAAATAATAATAATAATAATTCTGAAGCAGGTATACAGGATGCGATGGATAAATTGTCATCTAAATTGTGCAAAAATGAAAATAACACTGACATCTCATTTTAACAGATATATCTATCAAAATTACACAAAAATATCTTAAAATACTAAAGAGTAAATTTATTCAATTGGCTTCAACGACTGCCTCCAGTTCTTCTGCAAGTCTTACAGATTCTTTCCTTCTTTAAGTTGGTGAATGCTGCCATAATCCTTGCCTTCAGTTCATTTTTGGTGTTACAAGGAATATCTCTTGCTCAACTGCGCTTCACACATAATAAAAAGAGTTGCAGTCTGGGGAGTTAGGTGGCCAGATGTAAAGGGTGCTGTAGTCGCAGAAATTGTCTGACAGCCATGACTGGGTTCTCCTGCTTGTGTGGCATGGTGCAGAGTCCTGCTGCCAGACATATGGTCTTCCAGTAGCCACCCTCTTCACCCAGGGCAGCACTACCCCTCAAGTCACTTGATGTAGTCCTCCGTTTTGAGTCTGGTGTCCTGTTGGAAGATGAATGGAAACATAATGTCGCCATCACTAGTGATCACACCTTCATAATCACCATCAGACTCATCCAACTCTTTTCGAATCCTCTATACTGTGCTCAGATTGACACCCAGACCCTCTGAAATGTTCGTATTGGAGCCTCCAGCACGAATGCCAAGCAGTATAGCAGGATGTTTAATTGACCCTACTATACTGTGCAGTCAGCAAAATCAAAAACAAACAATGCGCGCGTGCACAAAATTAATAATATAAAATGGCGACAATTTACCCATCGCACTGTGTGTGTGTGTATATATATTATATATATATATATATATATATATATATATATAACACATGTCTTATTAAATTATTTAGAAAAGTTTTGTCTACTTATTTTTAATATGATCCTCTCATATTCACAGACAAGTATCTTTATTAATGAAAGAAAGCAAGTTACCATATTGATGCATATTCATTTATTCTGAGTACGTTCGACATTAGCAAAATGTCATCTTCAGGGTCTTGTTTTATCTAAGACAAATTTGTTGTGTTTATCTGAAAATTAAATTTTTTATTTGTAAATTGAATAACATTAAACTTATGTACTGTATGATTTTAAAATTTTATGATGTAAGCATACACCTTACCACCAGTAGAGCACTTAAAATTGTAAAGGTGTGGTACCAAAGAACAATTACCATGAAAATATTTATAGAAAAAGTGTCAGGAACTGCATTACAGTGATGGGAAAGTGAGTTAAACCAAGATGCCAGATCAGGACCAATAACATTACAAATTCTTTGGATTTTATTAAGAATCTCTAAATATATAGCTGGAGTACCAGACTAGATGTGGCAGCAATATTCAAGGCATGAAGGAATGTTAATCAAATATATTTCTCTGGCTTATATATTTTGGATTAATTTACTTATTTATAAATAAGATTTATTTTGAACTTAATTTGTTTACAGAACACCCCCAAAACAAATTGTCAATTTTATAAATAATAGATATTATATATTGAAACTTACACATAATTCTTATCTGTACAGGTCATTCAATAATTAGCATTACAAAATGTTTTGTCTATCTTTATTAAACAAAACAATTGAAAAAATTTTAGAAAGCGGAAACAAAAACTCAGTGTTCATAAACTTATTTGATACACTATTTATTCAATATACCCATTTTTTTGCATCAATAACTTATCAAAGATGCTTGGTTAATTGATTCACATGAGGCATGGGTAACACTTTGGGGGATTTTGTCCTATTTCTTCAAGAGTTTTGCCTTGAAACTCCAAACTGTGGTTGGGGTGTAGCAGAAACCTTGTTTTCTAAGATACTCTAGATGCTGTAGTGAAGAGGATTCAGGTATGGAGATGATGGAGGCCATTCTTCCTTTGGGGTAAAGTGAGGAACATGGGTTGCTAGCCACTCTAGTGTTTTTTTGGTCCCATGAGAGGGTTCTGAATCTAGTTGGAATAACCAACATCAGTTTTTGAAAGCCCAAAGCAACAGTGATGACTCAAGAATGTACTTCACATAATTTTCTTGGTTGGATTTAACCCATCGTTCTGCATAAATCAAAAGACTCTTTCCTGTCGCAGTCACAACAGTCCACACAATCACAGAGGCCAGACCTTGTCTTCATGTAACTGTCTGAGGCTTACTGTCTCCAGTTTGAGACCAAATTCAATTGCTTTGGCTGTTAAAATGCTGTTGAACATCAAAATTATTCTCATCACTGAACACAAGGTTTGGGAGTGTACCTACCCAAATACACTCAAAGAGGACTTGGCATCTGACTTGTTGTATCTCCATTGAGCTTGCAGATAACAGCAGTTTCTTTTGTAAGATGTCTTAAGGTTTTTATGGAGAATAGTTGATTCTGATGGACTTATTTGCCTCTTTTGTGAGATTTTTGAGAGAACTCTTTGGATTTCTTCTCAACATCTTCCAGGTCAATTTGATAAGCTCTGGTATTCGAGCAGTCCGAGGACGATCTTGTCCTTGCTTTTTCTTTACATTCCCAATCCCATTGAATCTTTTGATCTTGCTCCAAACCAAAATTCTGTTCATTTTTAATGATTTGGCAATATCCTTCAGAGAATTCCTTGTCTTGTACTTTTCTAAAATGGCAGTTCTTTTAGTTATATTTTTTAGCCATTCCCAAATCTAATGCCTGAAATGATAAAAATATAGGTTAGTTCTGTTTAAACAAATCATATAACATCCCAAAAAATGATAAATTTTTTTTAAAGTTAAATTAAAATTAATCCAAGTGTAATGATAAATATTGAATCCCCTGTATATACTGAAAATTTTACCAAAATTATTTGGTTAATACAAATTTTAATTTGAAAACACAGACTTGGATAATAAAATCTAATGTTGTACTTCTGTGTATTTATTGAGAAGTGACTGAAAACAGCACCACAAGTTGCCTTGTGAGTGAAATTGGACAGACAAAGCTGTTCAGAAGACATTGATGGTTGTGCTAGTACAAAGTCACTAGTCATCATGACGGGGGGGGGTGAGCATACTGGCCTTGTTCAACTGTTGATCACCCCAGATTATATGTTCTCTCCCCCAGAAACTATAACTAAGGTTTGCTCAGCATAATAACTGTCCACTTGTATATCTGTCTGGGTGGCTAATCAATCCCTCTTGCAGAGCCTGCTCAGATACATTTGCGTTTGTTCAACTGTGGTTTATACTGAAACTATGCTGAGCGGACTCTAGTTACAGTTTCATGGAGAGAGCGCATCGTCTGGTGTGATAAACAGTTTGAACAATACTAGTAACAATCAGTCACGATGACTTTTGACTTCATGCCAGCACAATCATCGACAAACAATTCTTCAACCTGTAGTATGATTTTCATGCACTTGCCAACAGTGCTGCATGCTGGAATTGCCTCCCCAGGCTAGTAGTATCAAGAAGTCACCTTTCTGATAAATCAACCATAGTGAGAGTTGAACCCAGGTCTCATGGTCAGAAAGCAAACATTCTAACCACTCAACCATGTGTCTATTTGTGTTAGTATAAACCAGAGGTTAGCTCTGGCTGTTTAATAATCAAATCTGCAACAGGCATTAGCTAGTCACTGTAGCTGATGTGTGTGCTATTTAAATAAAATGACTGGCAAAACCATCCAAATATGAAACTAACACATCTGTCTTCATGGGAGAAATTCATAATATCTTACAAAAAATACACAAATTGTAAGTACATATATACTGACGGCTCCAAAAATATTGATAGAGTTGGATGTTCAGCTATACTCAACGAAAGAACATTTCAAAAGCGCCTACTTGACAAATCCTCAATTTTTAATGCAGAAGCCTTGGCAATAGACTTAGCCATGGATATCATCACAGATTGGGAGTCAGAGAGATTCATTATATTCTCAGACTACATCATTGAAGTATAAAAATCTGACTAATCCTCTAATAACCAAATAAAATCAATAGCTGGAAATGGAAATGCAGATATGGCAGCTAAAGAATCACTCTAAAAATGAATATATCAAAAATAAAAGTCCTTCGCACAGATTTCAAAACAGCTATTGATACATATATCTTAAATATGTGGCAAGAGTTATGGCATATGCACCCAAGTAATAAATTGTGTAAAATCAAACGTACACATGGAATAAGACACCATAACACAGGTCTTTCCCAAAAAGATGTAGTAATTCTAGCAAGAATTAGAATTGGTCATGCCAACATCATTCCTTCTAAAAGATGAAGATCCACCTAAATGCATTGTATGCCAGGAGACATACACCGTAAAACATTTTATGATGGACTGTGCTGAATTTGCCTCTACCCATAAATGCCTTTATAAGATGAATAGCCTTAAGGAACTTTTCAAAAATGTAAAATGTAAAAACCATTTTGACCTAATTGAGTAAAACCAAACTTGAACCTAAAAGCAAACTATACAACCAGTTTTAAACTATACTTGACGAATTATAAAACTTAAAAATTCCTAAAATAAAAATTTGACTTTCACCACAAGGGTTGATATGGCTGGTAAAACAACCAAACAGACATTCTATATATAATTTTTATATTGCATTAGTTACACTAGTTCTCATCTTATAGATTTTGACTTATTTATTTTTTTTTTTATTTTTTTAGATGTTTATGTACAATGATTTGTACTTTTATAACATCAAAAAGAATGAATGGCACAAGGTCACTGCTCCAGGTGCTCCTCCTCCAAGAAGTTCTCATCAGGTAATTGTTCTGTTTGATAAATATAATTTGGAAGTTAATTTTTTAATGCTGTTATTTATAAAAATTAGAAGAAAGGAAATACGTCTTCTGTCCCATAATAGTTTGTACATTTGTCTATTTTTGTTTTGATTATTGGTCCAAAAAGCTTAAGAACTATAGTCAAAACCAGATGCTAATTCCAGAGCTGTAGTCAAGCAAAAAACCTAATTCGTTTGAAAAAGCATTAGTCAGTCTCTGAATTCCAAACTATGGAGAAGGCAATAGGAAACCACTCCTCTATTTTCCTAAGAATAAATGGCAATTCACTAATAATAAAGAAAAATCAAAATGTTTAACTTTCATGCCTGCCAAAAAATTGATGTGTCAAAAGGACAATTTTTCTGTTTAGATTGCTTTTACTTTAAACTACTGAGACTCCCTTGGCAATGTTTATTAACAAGATTATAAAAATATCTGAACTAGGTACAATGTTATATTGATTATTTACTATTTTGTAAATATTTATTATTTAACAACTTACAAAGAAATAAATTTGTAAAGAAATCTTTTTATTCAAAACTTTGTAAAAAGCTATAAAATTTTCAATGAATTGTGTTCTTTGGGATGGTTGACAAAACATCAGCAAATTGCCAATACATTTGAACTTTATAAAAGAGTAAATAATAAAGGTTTTATTATAGTTGGTTCACATATTTTTATGAGTTTGTAAATTTTTATAAATTTATGAATAAAAAAATTGTTTTCATATTTATTTATTTCTTAATTAGTAAATGATAAATATTGCATTTTATTAATTGGTTTGCATTTTTAGGATGTTTAAAATATAAAATTATTCTTGTAAATAAACAATCTAATAAGTAATGTTTAATATTTTTTTGTAAATAAAAGAACAAAGAACATGTATAAATTCACTTTCATGTTTGGGTTTAATTAAAATTCTAATTACTTTTTAAAGCAATAAACATTGCCAAGGTATTGAAGATAGTACAAAATAATAGCTATTTCAAAGGGAAAAAAAACATCATTTTGTCACACCTGTTTTAATTTGTGCACAAAGGTTAAACTTTGCTGAAAAATCTATAGAAAGATATAATTGCTTACATCCTGAAGGGACATGGCATTGTTTTTATCTTTGAAAAAATATCATATTGCTACAGATAAATTGATATTGACTACCACAACATGCAATTTATTAGTGATATTTAACCCTTCAAGGCTGGAAGCATCTAAATGTGCCTGCAAGTTTCTCATGTTTGTGTCTATTTGTGCTTGAACATGCCCACAATGAGATGACACTTTTTTCAATACACAATGTTAACACCCATCATGGGATCAACTGGAGCTTTTTGGAAATCTGCAAGATTTTGCAAAATTGCAGATTTCTAAAACCATATCTCATATAACCCGTAACACCAACGAGGGTAAATTTAGTATCTGTTCAAAGAAAAATCAGTTTACTTTAAATATAAAATCAGCTTCTTGTTCTTGATTTTCTACAGATTTTATTTTAATTTTTTTTACAATGATATCCTGTACAAGTCTCAAGAGCTACTCAAGGTAGAGGGGTTACAGAGTAAGAGGCACAGTTTATGAGGATATGTAGAAAAATATAACAGTTGACCCTAGACTTGAACAAGTTAAGCTTTTAGTGATTGGGAAGCACCCACTTGGGAGTTGGTTCCACAAAACAGCAGATCATATAATTATATCAATTTAATTGCACTAACATCAGTTATTCAGATTTTTCAAAAATTCAGTCAGAACTCCAGGGATTTAACAACTGAAATCTCTTAAGGGCTGATAGTTTTAAAAAAAATCCAAAGGAAATTGAAACTTTTTTTTATATACATACTAAATATATCAATCTACTACAGATGCATTGATGTTAATACAAAACAATCTCTATGTTTATTAGTGATATTTAACCATTTAAAGCCTTAATGTGCCTGCAACTGTGTAGCGCTATATTTCAATACACAGTATTAACACCCATCAACTAGAGGTGCTGGAAATTTACAACTTTGTAAAAGATTTTCAAAACCATCTCGCATAACCAAAGAGGCTAAATTTGGTCTCATTTCAAAGAGGAATTAATTTTCTCTTATAATATAAAACTTGGATTACTTGATTTTCAATGGCTTTTGAGATATATCATTTTAATTGCACTAACATCGTATTTCAACAGTTCATTCAGCCTGATAGGGTTTATAGAGAGAATATTTCCACTTGACCCATTATAAGCATTAGTAAAAGCCCTGATGTACTAACACCTTAATACAACAGAAGGAAGGACCAGGAATAGCTGAAAGAAAGGCATAACACATATGCATTGTTCGCAAAGAGATTTTATATACTGTTATTCAAGATTTCATACACAAATATGTATCTACCTATCACTATTTATCCCACACTGAGAAACTATAACATATAGGAATACAACAAGCAGTGTGAACAGGTGAAAAGTCTTACTTGTAATATTTCCTAAAAGGGAAAAATGACCAGGCTAGTGGTGTTCTTTGTGTTAACATGTTTTGTTTTATTCTCTGTTCACTCTTCCACTGTGGGCTTCTGGCATCTATCTTCCTAGCAGCCTACATCACAACTGGGTTTTGTCACTCCATAAGCTCATGATACTCACTGACTGTTAATTCATCTTACCCAAAGGGAGATAATTGCCTTTTACATCTCTACAAGGTTAAACTAAAATGTAACATTTGTTATCTCCAGGAATAAGTACTCATAAATGTCTTTTTATTCAAAATTTGTTTGTTATTGATATTTTTGTAGTTTTGGAATTAAATATTCTTATTGTGTATTGCAGGCTGTTATGTTGAAGCAAGGTGGAGGACAACTGTGGATCTTTGGTGGAGAGTTTTCCAACCGTACTCAGTCACAGTTTTACCATTTCAAGGATCTGTGGATGTATTCACTCAAAGAAAAGAAATGGGACAAGATCAAGTCAGTGAAAGGATATATTTATAGATTTTTACTTATTACCGCTCTTAACTTTATCATTATTTCTTTTGTAAGGTCTTAGTTATAGGCAGGAGGTAACACAAATATATATTTGGGCCTGAATATAAGGAGGATTAACTGATATGAAATTTCCTTTAGAATGGAGAGTGGAGTGAGTTCAATTCCTGGGTTGGGTAGTACAAAAAAAGTCATATACTCTAAGTCAGTGGAAAAGACAAGTGACATCACAAGGACAAATTAAGGAAGATTAACTGATATGAAATTTTCCTTTAGAATGGAGAATGTAATGAGTTCAATCCCTGGGTTGGGTAGCACAAAAAAATCATATACTCTTGTTTGGTGGAAGAGACAGGTGACATCACAAGGACAAATTAAGGAGGATTAACTAATATGAGATTTCCTTTAGAATGGAGAGTGGAATGAGTTCAATCCCTGGGTTGGGTAGTACAAAAAAGTCATATAATCTTGTTCGGTGGAAGAGACAGGTGACATCACAAGGATAAAGTAACTTGGAATAGTTAATTGATATGAGATTTCTTTCAGCATGGGAATAATTTAGATCTACTTCCATGTCTTGAATAATGTGTTCAGTTAGAATTTCCCAGGTGTCTACCAAATATGACCCACCTGAAGAAGGCTGGAAAATGCAAAAGCTGAAATGTTTTGATTTTAATAACTGTTGTAACCTAGAAAAGGTTACTGAATAACAAATAATCAAAACAGAAATTGGAAATGAAATAGTAATCTTTATAACATCAACAAAATACAATACTCGCCAGTGGCATGAAGTAGGTAAACCACTGCTAGTGGTGGACTACTTATACAGCATATTACCCCCACTTACAATAGTGTCCAACGTATTTATGAGGATTGGGACATACCCATTAGTATTCATCTTTTCACTTTTTATCATTTTTTTTTTTTTTTTCTCCTACCATTTCATCTTTCTTATTTTTTAATTTAATGCGAATATGTCAGATAACTAATCCAATTCTATTTTGGGTGGTCTAAAAATATACAGCAAATGACAAAATAAATGTAAATGTAATTTTATTTTTAAAATCATTCTTTTCACTTTCAGTTACAATTAACATTAACATTTCACCTACTTTACCTATTAAGCATTATGTTAATTAACATTCCACCTGACCTTTTTAAAATTGAAACTACAATTCCTACCAGCTTTCCAAATGTGCTCTTTCATCTCTTTGGAATCTCCATAAAGCTATTCTTGGGTAATAATCTTTTTTTCTGTTTTAATAACTGTCACTGTTTCTCCCTACTTTTTAGGTGTGTGGGTGGCCCATCTGCCAGGAGTGGTCATCGAATGGTAGCTTATAAAAAGATGCTTGTTCTATTTGGTGGCTTTAATGATAATACCAGGTGAGTCTTGGATATTTTTGATGACAGCAATGTCACAATACAAAAGAAGCAAAATAAAAAGGGAGAGTTTTGACCACTATAACCTCAACTAAGCTTTGGAGAAACATGCAAATTTAACCAATATTTTTAATCCATGTATAACTGCATGCCTGCCTTTCTACGTCTCACAAGAAGATTTAAAAATTGATAATCAAATGCAATTTTGTATTCTAAAACATGCCAAAGTTTTGCTTTTGGGAGTGATCACTTCCCAGTCATACACAAACTAAGGGTAGAATTTAAAAGAAAAAATGAAAAGAGGATGTGCTTGTAGTATAACAGTTATCAGCATGGAAAATGCCAAGATTAAATTCTGGCTGGGTTTGTTGCATTCGCTTTCCCACAAATACCCCTGGGAAAGGTGTATGAAGCCGTTTCTTCTCTGCTCAGCTTTTGGTTAAATATCAGGGCATACTGGGTTGATAACCAGTCAAAGAGAAGGACTGCTCTGAATTCAAAACCAGTAGGCCATGGGCTAGGCAAGTCCATCCTGTAAAATCCTACTTGCTACAAAAAAAAAAATTCTACAACCAACACCTAGTGTGGTGAAGCTGTGGCCCTATTCTCCACAATGGAGTCTAATGGTACTCGGTCCTGGGTATGATGATAAACTACATCTGGTAGCAAGATCTCTGTTCATGATTTTTTGAGGAGTGTGGAACCACCTCTTAATTGCTGTTCTCAGGTTCACCTTGACCCAGGGTGGTAGCACCTGTTACGGTCCTAGCTATGTGCAAATAGTCTCCCACCTCACAAAATGTGGTTAAAACATTATGAAAATATAAAAATGCATTTTCATAGTAAAAAAATTACCAGCAATACAAAGAAAATAAATTACCAAAGCATCCAAGAAAATTAAATTTTGGTATTAAATGTCCCATAAGGAGTTGATATGCCGTTAAACAGACCAAACCAAAATCTAATGGTACTAAAGAGAAGGAGGAGGAAACCAACTAATTGCCAAATTTTATTAATTTCTTATTGTAATGTTATATATATATATGTTATATATATATATATATATATATATATATATATTCTTCCACATGGAGAAATTCCATAATGCACTTCTGCTTCATATACACTTTCGTGTCTGATGACATTTTACCAAACTGCCACTCAGCTGCTATCTAAGTAAAAACAGATTATGGGTGATTGGTGGGAAGGTTTAACTTCTTCACCCATATATATATATATATATATATATATATATATATATATACACACAGACACAGAGGAAAAAGACAATAGGGAAACTGTAATATTAGCCAATGCGTTTCGTCCAATGTGGACTTTTTCAAGGCAAAAACGAAATGAATTTATTGAAACAAAGTAACTATTAACAACAAAACAAAATGTCTTTAGCAATTGGAAGAATTTAGAAAATGCTATTGTATTTATATTGTCAACTGAAAATTGCGTCAAGTACTGTCACATGTGGAAATATTGTTTTTATTGTTGTGTTGACCAGTTTTATAAAAATAAATGGAATTCAATTTATTCAGACACAAGGAAGAGAAAAAGGAAAAAATTTTGATATTAAAAGGAGAAAGAAAAATGGGGAGAAAGACAGATTTCAATATAAAGTTTTTTTAGGGGGGAAAAGAAAGAGAGATAGACATAGGGAAAGAAATGAGTTAAGCAAGTTGACAGGGTGACCCAGAAAATATTTTTTTCTTTCAGGACTTGACAAGTTAAAAAATAGGGTGGGAAAAGGGAGTGATCATATCTAAAAATAGATATATTGAAATTGTCTAGTCATTTTAAGCAGTGAAACTACCATCATCACATTATAACCATCACAATTACAAACTGATAATAATAATAAAAATATTAATAATATTATTAAAATATTTGACATCAATATAAAGAAATAACATAAAAAAATTAGATTCTTTAAAAACATTTTAAAATTAAAAAAAAAACTCGCAAAATTTTGATTATAGAGACAAGTAAAGTAACAAAAAATTTAAAAATGCAAAACCCACAAAATAAATTATCACATGACAGAATGGATTTTTTAAGGATTCTGTATTCATCATTATTCTATATATGTGTGTGTGTGTGTGTGTGTGTGTGTGTAGAGAGAAAGAGTTTTTTTTTTTTTTTTCTCTATTTTGGGTTTCAAATTTGGTAATTACTTTATTTACACCTTTTATAAAATATTTTAATACACTATTCCAGAAGATAATATGAATATTTTTTTATTATCTGCATTAACTTTGTTGATTATGTTTACTTATTTAAATCTCCATCTGAGTGTGTGCATATATATATATATATATATATATATATATATAAAATCTTGTTTTATAAAAGAAGCGACAAAAGGGCATTACAAAAACACAGTGCTCAATGTAAGATATACAAAGATATAATATATAAAGGTTACTTATGTTTCACTGACTGTCACAATTTGGCTTTTATGTAAGCACATAATTTGTTTATGGGTGGTAACACAATCATCAGGTGGTTAAAAAAGAACAAAAATCTCCATTCTAAATTTAGAATTGAGTTTCTTGTACTTTTCAATTGTATGATGATTGTGTTACTGCTCATAAATAAACCTTGTTTAGACAAAACTGCAAGTCATGAAACAGTGTAATATAAGTCTCTTTTATATATTATATTTTGTGTGTATGTAATATATATATAATTAATACAAGTAAAAGGTTTGTCATTCAACTGTTAGATGTTACCATCACCATCCTGACTCCAGAGTTTTATAGACAGACCTTTTGGGATTCACTTGTCAGGGAGTATTAGTAATTGACTGCTTATACTTCTTGATTTTTCTTTTTCATATGCACTTTTCATGGGTACAATTTTTTTTTTCCTCACTATATGTTTGTTTGTGTTCATGTGCACACCTATGCACTCGTCTGTGTTTATGTCCATGTGTAGAATATTGTAGTTATTTGCCCTTTTCGTTGTCTTCTTTTCTCTTTCACTTTACACTCACTCCCTATTGGTTTTTTACTTTATCTCTCTTTCCTCCATTGTACCCATTTTGATTTTCAATTTACCAGATGTATACTGTCTTTGTTAATTCTTGAGCATTCTCATGTTTTCTGGAGTTAGGAAAATTGTATTTCATTTTTATATAAATAATTTCTTGTTTTTAAATGCTTAAATAATAAATTTAATATTTATATATGTCATCACTTGGCCATTATTTCATTTTCTTATCTGATTTGGTTATATATTAAATATTAAGGTATTAATTGTAGGAGGTTAGGTTTATAATTAAATTTTTATTTATTATTGTTTGAATTTGCATGCACATACTTACATTCATATGTTTATGCACATGCATGCACACACACACACACACACACACACACACAAACATAGATATACTCACATGCACATACATACACATGTATACAAATGCGTACATGCAAACATATGCACATGTGTGTATGTGCTTCATACTGCCTGAATAATAGATAGACATGTCCACCTATGAAACTCTAGAGTTGGAATACTGAAGGTAACATCAGTCAGCTAAGTGACAAACTTTTACTTAGATATATATATATATATATATATATATATATATATATATATATATATATATTTCAAGTATGGGTGCAGTTCAATTTATAATTACATGAATCATTCATACAAAAAAACAAATATAGAAGTTAATGATTTAAATGGCGAGAATACATCTTGCAAACAATTTTAATAAATAAACACTAACATATTATTCATATACAGAATGATATTATCCTACTTTTATTAAAGTTGTTTGTGAAGATTTATAAACATTTAAATAATTAACTTTATATATTTGTTTTTGTATGAATGATTCATGTAATATATATATATATATATATATATATATATATATATATATATATATATATATATCAGAAAGTGTGAACTCTGTATTAGGTATTTTTGGCATGTTAAATTTTATGTTGACCCTTCTCATATTATTTCCTTACAGTTAACTTTTTACTTCCTGCTTCCTCTAGTTCTACAGATGTGAATTCCATTTCATATCAAGGTTGGAAAGACAGATGATTACTTTATCGTCTGTCAAAATAGCCTATTCCCCACATGATGTAAAAATAACTTTTGATTGTTCATCATTTGCTCTGTACAAATAAAATACACTGAGCTCTCTTTTTGGAGATCAATTTTATTATTTTTATTGGAATTTATTCTGTATACACTAATCCTGTACTTATTATATATATATATATATATATATATATATATATATATATATATATATTTGGTCAACAATCATACTTTTATACAAGTTTCATTAAAGACAATTGACAAGGTACTGCAATTAAGCATTTTAATTAATCTTTCTTGTGTTCTTACAAGTGTTTTCTGTTTTGGACACAAAGTGTGTAAAAATTGTCCAAAGGTTCTGCATATTCGAGCACTTTTGGCTATTCTTTTAGCTATCATCAAGGACAATTTTTATTTTTTATTTTTAACTGAATGTGTGGGGTGGTTTTTGGTATATGTCAGAAGTTATAGGAATGTTTTATTTTCTAAACACTGTCAACATGTTGTGGCCGTGTTCATAGTTAATGTTATTGAGTGTTGCCTTTTCCTTTTAGGGCTTCCATTATTTTTAATCTTTTTTTTTTACATGCGGAGATTGTGGATGGAGATTGGTAGGTTTCTGTGTATGTTTAAATTAGTCCTAATTGAGCTATAGTTAGATAGGTGTGACATGAGTCATCTTGATAGGCATGTAGTGGTATCTTACTTATTATAAAATGCAGATGGTGTGTGTGTGTGTGTCTGTGAGTTTATATATTGGATCGGATTTCCTACATTTTTCAACCGATTTCAACAAAACTTCACAGAACTACGTAAAATTACCTTGCGGTGGTTCTGACAGCGCCAAAAATTGGAAAAACACAATTGTTTTTGTACAAAATCAACTTGAAAACACGATTCTGTAGCCAGAATGAAAGAGGGACAACTCATATCGAGTTATACTTATTATAAAACCTAGGTGGTTTGTTTGTGTGTGTGTGTGTGTTCCTTCATATATGGGATCAGATTTCCTACATTTTTCAACCGATTTCAACAAAACTTCACTTTTTTTGGCAGGTAGTGTTTCTTATTGTCTTGCACACTTTTTTCTTTATTTTTACATTCAGAATGCTTTAAAAATTCCTTTTACAAGACAATTGTTTATAATAAAATTCTATTCACTCGATAGACTCATAACGATTGAAAACAATGTTTTTGTTTGAGTTTGGGTTTGACCAATTCATAAAAAAAAAAAAAAAAAACTAATTAAGACATGCGTGTCCGTCAACCTTAAACAATAATCTTTGTCAATTTTATTTTTCAGTCTTTATGATGGTCTATACGTGATCTATCTCTTACTGTTACATCCCCGGGCAACGCCGGGCTCTACTGCTATTGACCAATATAATTATTTATAGGTTTAGTTTGATCAGGAACTCTGTTCCTTACGGAGCATTTGAACTCATAAATAATATTTGTTCTCTGTAATTTTGATTTTGCAGGTGTGTTATTGTTGATAATAAGGTGAGCTATTTTAAATGTTTTGTAGTAGGGACAGTTTTTGCACACTTTGTGCCCAGAAAAGAAAACACTTTTATGAATACGAGAAAATTGAATAAAAGGCTTAATCGCAGTCACTTGTCAGTCATCTTTAATGAAACTTATATACAACAGTATCACTATATTCTAAATTCTGTGTATTTTCACTCAATTTTTCATTTTGAAAATTACAGAGATTACAAATACTTCAATGATCTATATATCTTCAACTTAGAGACTTATTCTTGGAGTAAAATTGATGTTTCTGGAAAGGCTCCAGCACCCAGGTCAGGTTGTATCATGGTTTCTACCCCTCATCTCAATAAGATTATTATATACGGTGGTTACAGCAAACACCCGATTAAAAAAGATCTTGACCAGGGTATATTCCATTCTGATATGTTTGCTTTAATGCCAGAAGGTAAGTTTTTCCTTTAAGTTATTTTTTTTACTTTCTTTAAAGATTTTCTATATTTCTCCTTTGATCTCCTAACATTTCATTCTATATTCTCCTGTGATCTCCTAACATTTCATTCTATATTCTCCTGTGATCTCCTAAGAGCTTACTCTGTAAATTGAATAGCAGGTGTTGTAAAGAATACAACCAGAGGTCTACTCACCCATTTTGTGATTATTGATCTAAAGAGGCCGTCCTCCTAGTCAAATTGTCTCTTCCCCTCATCAACTCATAGTAATAAAATTCTCCTAGTCTTCTCTAGGGTTGATTGAAGTGATTCAAAGTCCTCTGGGTGTGAACTGACAGATCGAAAAAGGGGAACAAATTGGGATGCACATCCGTAACTATAGGAAAAGAATACACAAGACACTTAGCAAACAAATCAACCATGTTTAGTGCTAAGGTCACGGCCATTGACCTAGCACTTGACATCATAACAGTGAGGACCACAAATTCATTATTTTCTCTGATTCAAAATCTGCACTCAGAGCACTGAACCATAAAGACACAACAAACTCCTTAATCACAAAACTATTGAATAAGATTGACATTCTGATTAAAAGCAAAAGCATTATCCAGCAGCAAAGCCTCTGATCAGGCAGTTTTGAGGAGTGTGGAACCACCTCCTAATTGCTGGTGTTCCCAGATCCACCCTGACCCAGGGTGATAGCACCTGTTAGGGTCCCAGCTATGGGTAAATAGTTAATCCCCAAACTGAGGTCAAAACACGAAAGTATAAAATATTTTTTAGTACAAAAAAAAATTATTACCAGTAATACAATTTTGAAAAAAAAATATTACCAGAAATACATTTTTGAAAAAAAAAATATTATCAGCAATAAAAATCTTGTCAGAATTAAATAAAATGAGGTTGATGCCATAAAACAAACCAAACCAAACCATGTTGGCATTCATAGAAATGTAAAGGCTGACACAGCTGCCAAAAAGGTGCTAAACACCAACATATCAAATACCAAGATACAATATACTGACTTGAAACCAACCATCTGTAAACTTATTACCAAAAAATGGCAAAAACAATGGAACCAATGCAATACCAACAAAGTACAAAACATTCAACCAATAATTGGAAAATGGTTTCCAGTTTCTGAAAAATAAGAAAGGATGAGGTAATCCGAACCATACTATACATTGGACATACTTATATCACCCATTCATACCTATTTAAAAATGAAAAAGCCCCAATGTACACTACATGTCAGAGACCATAGACAGTGAAACATAAACTGTAGCAATGTCAACGAAAAAAGTACTATCAAGTAAATAACTTAAAAGACTTATTCAAGAATACTAAACCAGTTGATATACTGAATTTTTTAAAAGACATTAGACCCTGCATCAGAATTGAAATATCTATAAAACTGAAACAGTAACCTACAAGGAACCATAAAAATGCAGCCCATCAGATGACAAATACCCAAACGAAATACCACAAGATACTAATACTGTTTTGGCATTAATGACCCATAATATGGTTGATATGCTGGTAAAATAACCATTCAGTCTGTGTGTTAAGCTCTCTGTTTACCAAAGAATAACCAAGACACACATACTCATATGTTGATTCCTTTATTAATATCTGTTCAACTTTGTCTTTACGATATGAACCGACAAAAGATTTGCTTAAAGGTAGGTACCACCACAAAAACGTGATACCTAATGTTTAAAGTGAATTTTTAATATTGAAAAATCTTTGTTGAAGCTTTTATTTTAATTTTAATTTCAAGCTCAGAGATTAAATTTAATATTTCCAATAAACAAAATACTATACTGTATTTCAAATCTAATTTAAATTGATTGGAAGGAGTTATCATTTTGAAATTTCCAAAATTTTTGAATTTGGCACCATTTTTAGCAAAGTGTTATAAAACTGTAAATCTTGTTATTAAAAAATCTTCCAAAAAAAAATATACTTTCCTGAAAGTTTATTTGCGGAATATTAACTGATTTAAAGTATAATTAATCTGATTCTAAACAAATATTATTTACTTTAAAATATCACAGAAATGCATTTTTTAACACGACAGTAGATTCAGTATCTGTCTATATTTCTGAGATGAGGTGTTATGTACACTATTGTCCTTATCTTTGTTGCCATATTTATCACAATGTCTCGGCTGTTCTTCAGGTGGTTGGAATGTCAAACTGAACCCTTTATTTCGCTCACTGGGGTAGACTGTTCTAGTTCCAAATTACACAAAAATATCTTGAAATACTAAAGAGTAAATTTATTCAATCAAATCACCATTGGTTTCAACCCCGGCCTCCAGACAACTTTGGGAACTCTTCTGGATGGTCTTCCTTGCCTTCAGTTCATCTTTGGCGTTACAAAGAGTTTTGTTGGTCTCTTGCTCAACTACGTCTCATACATAGTAATCAAAGGGGTTGCAGACTGGGGAGTTACATGGCCAGATGTAAGAGGTGATGTGGTCACAGAAATTGTCTGACAGCCATGACTGGGTTCTTTTGCTTGTGTGGCATGGTGCAGTGTCCTGTTGCCAGACATAGTCTTCTAGCAGCCACCCTCTTGAGCTAAGGCAGCACTACTTCCTCAAAAAACTTGATATTGGCTTCCATGTTGAGTGATTCTGTGTGGGAAGATGAATGGAGGCATTATGTTGCCATCACTACTGATCACTCTAAACACCTTCATAATCACCATTAGACTCCTCCAACTCTTTCCAAATCCTCTGTACTGTCCTCAGATTGACACTCAAATACACTGAAATGTTCATATTGGAGCTTCTGGCATGAATGCCAAGCATTACAGCATGTCATTTCCAAATTTCTGTCAGAGTGAATTGTGTCATGGTGCTTTTTTTCTCACAGACATTGCCCAATTGACCCTACTATACTGTGCAGTTGACAAAATAAAACACAATCAACACACGTGCGCAAAATTAAAAATATAAAATGATGACAATTTACCCTTCGTACCCTGTATAATTAACTCTGAATTGGTTAACAATCTCACTTCCCAGGGTCTTCTTGTGGCACCATAAGTCCCCTATACAACCAACTGAACGCACATGAAGTCAATTTGAGTCAGAAGAGTAGTAGGATTTTTTTAATGACTGGAAGATATTCTTCAAAGTTGCAACCCACTTCACAAAAGAGAAAGAAAATAAAGAAATAAAGTAAAAAGAGGAAGAAGTGGAACTTTATCAAAAACCAAATGTTTCCACTGGCAGCCATATAGAAATAGTCCTAGTTAGGGCTAAACAGAGAGAAGAGATCTGTCTAGCCCAGTGGTTCTCAACTAGGATCCATGTAACATTACTGGGGGGTGGGGGTGGGGGTTTAATATTTTAGTGGTCCATAGAGCAGTTTCACTATAAAACAGTTGTTGCAACTGAGAATTGGAATTTCTACATTAACCTACGCCATATTAAAATACTAAAAATAGAACAACAGCTCTAAAACTAGCAGAAAACGAGATCAAGCAACGTAAGTTATCATCCCTTTTCCTATACTGAGAAGGATATATAAAGGAAGGATATATATATATATATATATATATATATATAAGGAAAATTATATAAAGATTATAATTTATTATATAAAATAATTTATAATAATATTAATTTTAAATATTAATAGAATATTAATATAAATTAATATAGTTATAGACTTGACAGTGTGAAAAGGGGGTGATCATCAACTCTTATTGAGACATTGATGGAACTGAATATAAAAAAAAAAGAAAAAAAATATCATCAATCACAGGGATATCATTGAATAAATCTGCACTTTTTTAATTTATTAATTACTCGCATATTTTAAAATGGTTTATTATGAGTTATTTTACTAGTGTACATCAATGTTCCATAGAATTTAGTTAAATACAAGTTTATTTTAATTCAATTAGTTTTACTTCAAAATAAAGCATATACATTTACTATTTTTCTAATACAATTCCTAAACTGATCTATTAGTAAAAAAAATAAGCTTTTTTTGGTTTTGGTTGTTTTTTTTTTTGTTTGTTTTTTTTCATTGAATGGTTATGGGGGTCCAAAAAAAAAAAAAAGTGGACCATGGGTCAAAAAAAGAAAAAAAAAAAAGTAGGTTGGGAACCACTACTCTAAACAGTCATGTTGGTAGCAGTCACTTAACTGAAGTAAGAAAAATTGAAGGTACCTATGTGTCACCTGTCTACAACCAGAAAGAATGCTATAGGTCTGACCATGCAACCTCATTGAAATAAACACCAAATTATTCAGAACTGGAATTCCTGTTTTCATTTCTTGGTGTTAATTTCATCTTCCATTTCTTGTAAACATACCACAAATCTTTTCCAGTCTTTTGTACACAAAAGTGTAAACAAGAGGTAAAACACAACATGGGCATTGATATGTCCAGTCAGTGAACGATAGAGAAGAAGCTCTATTGTATGTTTATATTCTCTTGCTTCTCTAGATCAACTGCTGATGTTTTACCAGTTATGGCTGAAAGAATCTTCCAAGCTTTAGATAAGATTGGCGAAGCTCGAACTGTGGATATTATGAAGGTATATGACAGGGTTTGACATACAGGGCTTATTCACAAGTTGAAAGGTCATAGAATTTCGGATTCAATCTTTCTTATCAAATTGTGAAATGACAGTTGTCTTGAACGGCCACTCTTCTGTTTGCATTAATGCAGGTGTTCCCCAGGGCTCTAGCCTTGGACCGATGTTGTTCTGAATTTTCATCAATGATCTTCCTGATGTCATCAGTTCTCAACTCTGTATCTGTGCTGATAACTCAACTATTTACTCCTGTCTTAATAGTGAGTCTGATCAGTTTGATAAGGTCAAATTTGCAGCTGATCTCAAAAATGACCTAGAATCTGTTGTTAACTGGTCCAAGAAATGGCTTGTTAATTTTAATGCCTCCAAAACAAAAACTGCTGTCTTTTAATCACCTGAGAGAAACTCTTTTGACTTCCACCAACATGATTGATGCTAACCTCCAGGAGAATTACTCTTTGCAAAATCTTGAGCTAATGTTTTCCAGTGATGTGAAGTAGAATCAGTTACTAGGTCTACTGCTAGAAATAATGGTTCACTGTTCCATGCTAGACAGTTTTTTTTTTTTTTTTTTTTGCCAGAATCTTACAAATTTATAAGTCTACCATTCGTCCATTCATTGAATATTGCTGTCACATCTGGTTTGGAGCTTCTGCTATAGATTTAGAAATTCTTGATAAAATCTAAAGAAGAATCTGCAATATTATTGGTCCTGACCTGGCACTTTCCCACCACCGTAATGTAGCTTCTCTGTGCCTTTTCTATAAATATTTTCATTGTAATTATTTTTATATGTTTTCTTCTTTGGTACTTGGCACCCTGGCCTCTCGTCATATGGCTACTTGCTAGAACTCTTGATCAAATAAAAGGAGACTGCTCACTGATAACTGCTTTTTTTCTCTTTAATAACCTTGCTTTCTGTTTATGATGAAATTATTGCTCCCTGGCCTTCTGCTTCAGATCTGTGTGTTATGACTAAGATCAAAGTGTCACTCCTTATGCTCTTCTGCTTATGATCAGTGTAGTATCTGTTCACTCTTTTTTTCAGAATTATGTTGATGCTTTTTCTCAAATTACAGGTAAACAAGAAAAGAACACTGCCCAAGCTCAACACTGGAAATGGGTCTCCATGAAGCAAAGTGGTTTCCGTCCAGATACACGAAGTGGAATGAGTGCCACCATTATGCCAGGTTCTGACCACGCCTTTTGCTTTGGTGGAGTTTATGACCAGGTGAGGTTAGAACATTTTTAAAAGACAAAGTGGATAGTAAATGGATTTTTGTCAGAGTCTCAATTTTTGGGTTTATTACAACTCAATAAGCAATAAAATCTACAACGTACAGAGCAGCAACCCACTGATCAAAAGGAAATAAATAAATGAAAACTGTCACTCAGACTGCTCATGACTCTACATTTCCACTTCTTGCCTTTGGTCCCTCTGACTTATCTCACTTGTTCTTCTCGAATGTGACCTGAGGAGCCCTCATTTGGAATTCCCTACTTTCCCCCTAAGCGGTACTTGAACCCAAAAGTTTTATTTTTCTCTTTATTTTAATCCTTTAACCTACTTTTGGACAGCAGATGTTTATTTTGAAACTCTCGCAGCTTGATTTTCTGGTTGGTTGTCATAAAACAGCAGCAAAAGCAATTTCCTATTTTTTCTAAAATGGGCCAGCACAGCCAGGCAGCAATGTAGTAGTGAAAGTGTTAATATTGACTTTCCTTTTTAAAATCCGTTATAGAAACATTAAAAAATTTAATAAAAGTGGTGTTTTAAAAAAAAAAAAACTCTCTAAAAATCTAACAAATAGCTGTTTCAAATGATTCATAGCAACGTTTTTGTGCTTTTTATAGATTAAATCCTTCTATCATTATTTAATGTTTTTTTTTTGGGGGGGGGGCTATTATCTTCTTTGTTGTTCTTCACATTATTTCAATAAATTTTTCAACTTTCCTCATAAAGATTCTTTAAAAAAACAAATGTTGTTAACAATATAGAAATTTTATTATTATTAATATACCCATGATGGCAATTTCTAACAATTGCCATGATGGGTACACTAATAATAATAAAATTTCTGAGTTTTAATATTGAGATGCAATGAAACAAAAGTCCTAAAACAATATATTGAGATTCAGTAAAGCAGTGATAGAATTCATAACTAAAATAAAGGCTAATGAAACTTTAATTAATCCATTCTCTTTATATTTTTTATTAAAAACTATTTATGAATATTCTGAATTTTTCTATAATTTTCTTTTATATTTACTTTCTGTAATCTCAAGTAAAATTAAGATATTTTCTAAATATAATTTGTTTTTTCTTTTCTAAAAATATTGTTTATTAAAAAAGTAATGTATTTTGTGCATTCTGAGGTAATAAATATTGGTTTAGAATCAGGAGTTGGAGAGCTGAGTTTCATTTTTCCATTTGAATTTGTTATGTTCACTTACATGCAAATAACCTTGGAAAGGGTATGTATGCATCACTTTTCTTCTAAGCTATGGGTTGAATAACTGGAAAAACTGGGTCCTATAGCCTTGGTTGGCAACCAGTCTACTGCAGAAAGAAACAGCAACCTAGTATAGGGAAAATCTTCTGCCTACTCTCTCATGAATCGAAAGCGACATGGTCGCCCAAGTACGTATCATGTATGATACTTAACTGACTGGCCGAATATATTTTAATTTGGCCAATAAGCTTATTAGAAATAAAATGTTATATGAACTGATAATTTTGCTAGTCTTAGGAAATATAACATTACCAGACTTTTGTCAAGACGATTTTTAAAGTTGTTATTCATATTAAAGTGAATAATAATTTTAACTCTTAATTGAAATGATGTATATTTCCCAGACACCCTCCCAATTATCTCATCTCCATCAATATAGTAACTCCTCGGGTTATGACAGTTCACACCTATGGCAATTTGTGATTACAAAGCAATCTGCATTAGTCTTGTTTCAAATTATGACATATGCCTTTTGCATACAATGCATCCTTCCAAATACTGCAAGAGAGAAAAGATCTGACACTTTGTCATTTCTTCTACTGAGAACCAATGACATTACTGACAATAAATATACAAGCAACTTAAAACAATTTCATTTCATTATATTCTTTTTCTTCTTATTATTATTTTCATATCATTTCATTATATGTATTATATTTATGTCCTCCATGTGTTTTTAAGTCCTAATTATGTTAACACGTCTCAAAGAAATGTGTTATGTCCTAGATTATTACTTTACTATTGCATTAGCATAGGTGAGTGACGTAAGTGCTTATTCACAGAAAATCACAGGTATGTTCAAACTTATGCAAAAATTGCATTATGACGCATCATAGGAACAGAACTCTGCTGTAAGTCAAGGACACCGTGTATTGCCAAATATTAACTTATTTATTTTTTCACAGCAAATCATAAAGTGTAAGAAATTAATTCCAGAATGGTCACAACTAGTACTATTTTATATTACTCATCCATTTAAAACAAATGGTTAGAGATTAAAGTCAATTTAGCATGAATGGACAATGCAAAGAATTACCTTTTATTAATTATTTTATATCCTAATATTTACCTTTCCTTAACCCTAGAATGGTATACTCAAGGTGTGACCAAAAGAAATCATACAGATAGTCTTTCAGACCCTGAAATAAAAAATAAAATTAAAAAAAAACGAATTGTAGAAAAATGTTGTCTATTTTATTTCATGAATCCTTGAACATTGTACACCCATTTTGTGAACATTGTATGTCCATTTTGTTTCTGTTAACTTGTAGACATAGCATTGAAAGTTAAAATGAATTTATCCAGTAAATTATTAATTTATTAAAATTAAAAAAAAAAAAGAATTAAGAGTTGGTAGCCCCAAGAGTATCATTTTATGGTTAAAGCAATTTAATTTTTTTTTTATTTTTCAATTTCTTTTAGGAGGAAAATGAAGAAATTTTAGAAGGTCATTTCTTCAATGATTTGTATTCTATGGATACTCAAAATGGCTGTTGGCACAAGCTTACTGTTTGGTAAGAATAACTGAATCCATCATGCGTTTATTTTTATTTTTTGAGAAAATGTTATATATATAAAAACAAGTTTGGCTAAATTCAACTGACAAGATATGTTTGTTTAGTTATTTAAAATTTTTTTCTCCATTTTTCTAATAACAAAATTATGTAAATCCAAAGTTGATGTTTTCTTCTCTTTTGGTTCAAGTACTTTTAACCATCTTAGTCATTATCAAGAACTGGATGTTGTCAGTATGATAGTCAATATATTGTTGTCTAATTTTTTTTATGCTACTTTCTTATTTTTTTTTTTTATAAGCATTTCACTTCAGGCAAGGTGGGAGTGCCACTAATACGCAAGGGGTTACAGAGAGTGAAAGTAAGAGAAAAGTATTGGGCGGTGGGGATTGAGGAAAGGATAAAAAGAAAAACAGGTATCAAGGCAACAGAAGATGTCAATTGACAATACATTTAAATTTTTGAACATTATAATTATCAGCAAAGCAAGTAAGAGGAAGGGTGTTCCACTGTCAGGAAGTACGAGAAAAGCTGTTGGAGTAGAAGAGGCAGATATATTTAACTGTTTTGACAGTAAAAGGGTGTGACCGAGATACCAACCTAGTAGCACACTTGACTTCATGCAATTGGGCCACCAGTGAAAATAGCTCATCAGAGCAGTTACTATGAATATATTTGTAGAAAAGACAGAGGGAAGCCACATCCCATCTGTGACTGGAGTTGAGATGTTGAGGACCAATCACATTGCAGATCTGTCTTTGGATTTTGTCGAGAACCTCAAGATAAACATCAGGGGCACCATACCATATATAGCAACAGTATTCCATGCATGAACAAATGGTACATTTCTAGATATGAAAGATGGATTTAGACAAGAAAAACCTCCTGATGCGACACCGAGAACCAACTTTCCTTGCAGTAGATGCAGCTATTGATTCAATGTAGTTGTTCCACCTCAGATCAGTGGAAAACATGAGACTAAGAAGGTACAGTGAGATTCTCTTGTGAAGTTGATAGGAGAATTCAGATATATGCATATCATATAAGTAACAATTTGGGTAAAACACTTTTACAGAGCTCAACCGCAATAAAAGAAATATATCAAGTATATGTATTATTTTCTACACATTATAAATATTAAAACCTCAAAAATAGAAATGTATTGAAATATTTAAGTTTCGTTTTAAAGAATTTGTTCTTATTCTTATTTTGTCATGTTAAGTGACCTTTTGTAAATTCACAGTGAGAAAACAAAGGGGACTTCTGAAAAACGACGCCGGAAAAACAAAGCGGACGACAAAGAAAATGAAGATGACGACGATGATGATGATGACATGGAAACAACTGAAGATCTTGAACAGCTAAAAATAGACGACAGTGAAACAGATTCTGTTCAGGTAAAGATACAATTATTATTCTGTTTTCCACATTTGGTGTTAAGGGAACATTTTATGCTTGTCCAGAAATTTTGATATTTCATTATATGATTGCATGAGTATTTTCCCCACAAACATAGCCAAACACAACATATCATTAATCTGTGTCTCTTTACTTTTTATCATTTCTATCTTGATCTCTGACGAAGCTTTAATAAAATGAAACATGTTAGATTAAGATCTGTTTCCTTCTTGTTTTTTATCTTATCATTTTGTTGGATTCCTATCCATACTATATATATATATATATATATATATATATATATATATATATTGAACAATAAAAAATATTAAAAAATTAAAATCTTCAGACACACTAGGTTGTATATTAATATTCTTTCGTTTTTATTATTATTTCATTTAGATTCCTCGACTAGTTTCGGCCAACATGGCCATCATCAGGAGAAAAAAATATTCTGCTTGTTAGTAGCAGTGAACTACAGAAATGAATGTCTTTATGGAGAAAATGAACTTTTGTCAGTAGTTTTCATTTGTTTTTTTTTATTTCTTTATTTTTTTAACATGAATTTTGGTCAGTCCTTGTGTTGGTCGAACAGTCTCTTTTAAGTTGTTATTTAAGATAAGAGCTGGATGGATTCATGCTGCTCTGAATTCCTTTGGTCATTTTGACAGTTTTATTGGTTCCTGCAAAGGGGATGTGCCTCTGTTAAGTGTGTGTGTGTGTGTTATTTGGCTCATTCGGGAGTGAGTGAGTATGATGTGTGGGTGTGTGTATAAGTGTGAGACCTCAACACTTCCGCATATATAATGTGTGTGTGTGTGTGTGTGTGTGTGTGTGTGTGGTTGTAAATTAGGATAGAGAATCTAAACCAAGTTTTGAAGATAAATGACTTATGGAAAACCATTTCATTGAAACTAAATTTGATTACACATTTCGTCTTTTCTATGCTTCATTAGATCAAAAATCAAAAGAAAGAAATATGTATGTGTGTATTTGTCCAAAGACATGTTGGGATGGGCAAAGATGTATTCCAAAAGCTAAGCAGAGTATTAAGAGACAGAAAAATTTCATTAGAAACAAAGAAAAGAGTACTGAACTGTTAGAGGATATCTGTCCATCTGTCTGGCAGCAAATGCTGAACAATCTCCTTATGTGGTTCTACAGAAAGATACTGAGGATACCATAGACCAAACATGTGAGCAACAACAAGATTTTGGATAGGATGGAAATGAAGAAGAAACTTATACTTGACATCAAGAAGGGGCAATTAAAATTTCTTGGTCATGTAATGAGGAAGGTGGGCTTGGAAAATCTGATACTCACAGGACAGATTAAGGGAAAGAAGTACAGGGGGAAAGTAGTGTATAACATACCTGATGGGCTTAAGTAAATGGATGGTAGAACAGGGTTTTGGAGATTTAACAAAAAACCAAAACTTATTAAGAGCAACTAGGAACAGGAAGAAGTGGAGGGCCATGATCGCCTATGCCCTGAAGGGACATGGCACATAAAAGAAGAATATTTGGGCATATGCTTAAATAATAAATCATTGGTACTTTTTAAGCTAAGTAATAAAAACATAAATCTTTTATTTTCAACCCATTCTGAAAAATTGGATAAGGATTTACTTTAAATTAATTTAAAAAAAGGTTATATCTTTTGCTTTTGAGCCAGTCAACTAGTGTTTCATTGTTGTGTACTCACTGAAATATGAATTCTGATGCATTCTCCTGTACATTTAAGTAAGCAGTGGGTTTTGTTTGACCAGAGACTTTCTTGAACAGCAAAAGATTACATGGGAACAAAAATAAATGCCAATTTAAGTCACAAACAATTTAATACCATAGGCTTGTTAGAAGATTAAAATCACTCCTGGTTGATTTTTCTAATAAGTTTTTGAGGTATCGAGAAAGGGGTGAACTGCTAGGTTAGATATTTGTGTCTGTTAGTTGGGATTTCTCTCAGCTTGAGAAGAGAAGAATAGAAAGATAGGAAAAGCTATTTCACAGCAAGAAATTATGCAAACTGATGTGTGGTTTCCTGTTCAACTCTGATATCCTTTCAAACTCTGTACAGATTGTCTGAATCCCTGTGCCAACTAACTATGCAACCATGTGCTTTGGTTGATATAGATATCTATCAAGGGGATTGTCATTAATGGATACCATCCCCTAACAAAGAAATTCCTATTACCAATGCATGTGGCTTGTGTTTCTAAAGTTCCCAGGACCAGACATTTTAGCAAAGAATCAGTGTGATTCAAGCTGGATAGTATGCTAAATAAGAATTTCTCAAATTCATCTGGGTTTTGCAGAATTCTGGTGAACACATTTATCTTGTCGCTGTAACTTCCTCGGGTATGAGAGGTGGGGCAGAGAAAATTTAGTTGTACTGAATTTACTAAATCTTACTAGGTTTATTTTGGGTTCAGTTTTTATCATTGATTTTCTCCTAAGCATTTTATAAGTAGTGGTTAATATTTTTAAACCAAACATTCTTTGGCTTACAGCCACATTACATTGAAACACTAGTTTTCTGTACAATCACAATCAGTACCTAGGTGGGTAACTGCTTAGAAATACCAGATGCTGTAAGTTTGGATGTGTGGGTGCTGTAATGGATAATGACTCAGAATTGATAATCAGAGAGCCAAGTTCCAATTCCAGTTGGGTTCGTTATATTCACTTACATGCAAAATATGGGTTAATTAGTAAGACTTGTATAACTAAAACCATTATTATCTAAAAAAAAAACAATTTTTCTCCAAAATATTTAGATTTCAGGATTAAATAACCCATGGAATTTGATATAATACCAACCAACCAACAAACCAACGAACCAAACAAACCTTTTTCTCTTGGGTTCCAATCTGTTGAACTAGTCTTCTATTATTTTTTTCCCCACATGGCATTTTTATTCTTTCCCTTAGAATTCTTAACTTTCTCAGTATATCAAGTCACTAAATGACATTCATGCATTATTATCACCTCATCTGGGCCACTGCCCTGTTACAATATCTCGTCTAGTTCGTTTTTATTCCTACACTTAGGATTCTAGGATTTCTCAGTACCTAAAGTTAGTAAACAACTTTCCATGCATTATCATAAATCCATCAAGGCCAGATGAAGCCATAAAATTGTGTTCAAAATATTTAGATTTCAGCATTAAATAACCCACTGAGGTTGATATGCCACTAAACAAAATCATCCAACTTTGCATTTGTCAAAGGTTAGTATTGACAAAAAAGCAGACGGATTAATGGAATTATATTTTTTCTAACAAAATTTACAGCATTTCTGCATCTTTTGCTTTATTAGTGATAAGCACTAAAAGGAAATTTAATTAAACCTTAATTAAAAATTTTAATATCATTTTCAGAAAATCACTTCTTCTGATGGAGTCTTTACCGTGACAATTGGGCCGCAGTCCTCTGTTACTGAGGAAGATTCCGTTTGTCAGGCTTCGAATGAATCCAGTATATGGATGCCTCCTGCAAGAATGAATTGTTTACTGGCTCTGAATGGAGGCCACTTGTATCTCTATGGGGGCATCTATGAAGAAGGAGACGTGCAAGTGACACTAACAGATTTCTATTCCTTAGATGTTAACAAACGAAACAAATGGAATACAATTATTGAAATGGACAGAAAGAGTCAGGTAAGTCTCAGTCTTCAATCAGAATCATCATCAGGTTAATCAACCTCGGTATTCCATGACACATTGCTGCTTCTATCCATTCCTCGCATTCATTGCATTTGGAAGCTCATCCAGTCTGCATCCTATGTCTTCAATCAAATGGTCAATGTACATCTTCTTTGGTCGTGTTCTTTTTCCATGAGATGGTACCCAGAGTATAATGCCTCTGGCTAGTTCTTTGCTATGCCAACTGTGACCAGCAAATCTTAATCTTTGTTGGCATATTGATTTGCTGATGGAAGGTATATTGCCATAGAACTCTTTCTTTGTTGGGTGATCTTTCCAGGATTTGTTTAGTGCTGCTCAAAGTATTTATGCGTAAACACCATCTAAGCTCTTTGCCAGTTTGGCTCTTAGTGTCTCGGTGGTAGTGTTTAGTCACTGATTTACAATGGAGAAAAAGCAAACTAGAAACTCCTGATTTTAAAAAATGAAAGGTAATTTTTAAATAAAACAGTTTGTCAAAAGGATGGCTATTCCCTTGACACTGCTATCACTTTTGGTTTCCTTGGCAATGTTAATGGTTTTTGAAAAAACGATGATTAGAGTCTTAATAAAACCTAAACATATCAAAGTTTCTTGAGAATTGATAAAGATATGGAAACACTATTTTCTTATTTGCAAGAATAATTTTATATTTGCAAGGTTATAAAAATATGTGAACCAATGAAATATTTATTATTTAGCAATTTAAAAAGAAATAAATATTTTTTAATTCATAAATTTGGAAAATATGTCTGAACAAGAAAATATAAATAAACCCTTAATGACAAGTAAGTGTAATTATAAATTTGGGGAAAATGCATTTTTCAGGCATTTCTTTCATTTGCTCTTGTCACATAATTTTTTTTGTCAAAAGTGTCAACAGTAATAGCAGAGTCAAAGGAATAACTATCTTTTTGAAACACCATTTTTTTTTTTTTTTTTTTTTTTTTTTTTTTGGGCAAAGAAAATTGTTCTAAATAGTCCTCAGTCTAACTGAGAAATGCATGCAAAAAAAGAGTACTGTTTGGTTCCTTAGTCACAAAGTGGGTGTGGTCACGAACTTTTCAGCACCCCACCATATATACAAGAACTTAATATGGTGTGACATTAAATAAGTTTTACTTATTAAGTAATTACTAAATTATTTTTTAAGAACATTGAATAATTTCAACCAAGACTTGCCTATATAAAAACAAAATTACCCAACTGTCGGCTTTTTATAATCAACAAAATTAAACATTTGCTTGGATCTGTGTGCCTGAGTGATCATAAGACTTGGGGTATGGATGAAGTATTTATTTATTTTTATTTTTTTTAAATCAATTCACCCCAAGCAAAGCAATAAAGCCACTAAGACGCAAAAGGGTAAGCCATTTATTTATTTGCTTTCAAAACATCAGCATTTGTTTCTTGGAATTGTTGATCTATAATGTTACCTAGTCATTATTGAAGGAGTAAACATTTAATAGTTATTTCTATATCACTAAAACAAGTCGGATTCTGTTTAATTATAAATAACGGCAACTGTAAATGAAAAAGTGCTAATTCATGCATTTGTGGACAACAAATTGGTATTTAAATTGAAAAAAAAAAGGAAATATATTGTTATTTTTTAATATATTTTATTTAAACTTTATTTTTGATGGATACACATATTCGAGTAGAAGCTCTGTTTTTTAATTAAACAATATTTTTTTATCCAACTACATCTACTGGCCTGAATATTTGACAAATCTTGTCAGAAAAATATACGTCCTCCAGCATGATTCAAACCTGCATCCCTTATGGGAACCGTCATTGGATCTGATGTGCGTAACCACTCAGCCACGTAGGGCTTCTGGTCGAATAAATTACAAATAGTGCCTTTTGAACCCACACATCTCTGCCAATTCTCAAAACATCCATATCTGCTCTGTATCGTATCCTAACGTAAACAAAGACAATTTATTTTTAGGAAATGGATTAAATCCAACACATGCAGTCATTCTTCATAACTCTAAAGCAAAGAAGCCATGGCCGAATGATAACATCATTATGGAGAGACATGATGTTTTTAAAAGTCAGTTGAAGCTGCAATATTATTCAAATCTCCTTAAAGAATATTGAATAATTCCAACCATTATATTCGGTTATATAAAAACCAAATAACCCAACTGTCTATAATCAACAAAATTAAACAATAGTTGCTCAGATCTGCAGGCATAAATGATTGAGGTGAGGATGGGTATATAGAAATGTTCACTCTACGTCTTTGCACCAATTCATATTAATTTCTCGAGTTGAGTATTGATGATTTAATTGGACGTTGAAAAAGAAAGAACAATTGTGAAACACACTCTGAATTTCACCCTGTAAAAGACTTGAGAGCCACTCGTGGTAGAGGAGAGAGTTTGTATGGATAGGAGGGGGAAATAATGGTTAACCCTAGGCTTGAACTGGTTAAGATTGTAGTGATCAAGGAAACATCCTCTTGGGAATTGGTTCCACAGAGCAGTGGTTCACAGAAAGAAGCTGTTCAAGTGGAACTTACTTCTCACCAATGGAATACAGAGGGAATGTGGGTGGTTTGCTACAATGTCAGTGACATGGTGGGTGCTAGCTGTGAAGGTTACAACTGATAGAAACAAGGAATGTAGTTTGTCTAAGCACTTTCCATAGAAGTAGCCATAGAGCAGTGAATGACTCATCACATCCCATCTGTGAGAGTATTTGTTTTTTTTAATTTTTTTTTTATTAATCACTTAAGCCCAAGCAAGGCAATAAAGCCACTAAGACACAAGGGGTTATTGAGTGTTAGAGACTATGAGAAAAAAATTTAATTAGAGAGAGCACAATAAAAGAACAGGAGATTAAAAGACAATATTCTAAATTCTTTTTTTTTCTTTTTTTTTTCCAGAAATGGGAAGAATCTGATTCTTCAGATGGCAGTGATGACAAATCAGATGACGGTAGGTATCATTTCTTTTCGTGTTTTCATCCAGTGAACTTAGAAATTATTCTTCATGAAAGAAAACTAAATGATTTGTTTGAACTTAAACCACAGCTCATTACTATTAATACCTACGTTGTTTACCAATTTATAAAAGAAAACAAAATAGTCTTACAGAAATATTTATTTGACAACAAATGTAGATTTTTTTTTATTGGGACTCTGAAATCATCAGTTTCCTTTTAAAAGATCAATCAAATCAAGGAAATTCAAATTCCACTTCAGAAATATGACTCAGATCCACCATCTTGTCCTCACTTTACTATGCACAGCATTTTAAAATTTTTTTGGTTTTTATAATATTTAATGTCTCCTTAAAGTTACTGTCAGCATGAAATGTTTGGCAAAGTTTAAAGTACGTACCTGTAAAAACAAAAGTGTATTAAAATGGACAGTTGTTATCTTGACACCGTTATCGACATATACTCCTTCGACAATATTGTTTTAAAAAGATATTTTTAGAATTTCATTAAAACCCAAACATATAAAATTAGATTTATACACTTACTTTTTTTCTCAAGAATTGACAAAAATATAAAAACTATTCTTGTAATTAAACAGTCTAATAAATAAATAGTGTTGAATATTTCTTTGGACATGAAAGTATAAATCCAGATGTTTGTTTAGTGGCATATCAACTCCTTATGGGTCATTTAATGTTGAAATTTAATTTTCTTGGAGCATTAGTAATTTCTTTTACAGAAGTGTATTGCTGGTATTTTTACTATAAAATGTATTTTTATACTTTCATCATGTTTTGACTCCAGTGTTTTAACTATTTGCCCATAGTTAGGACCCTAACGGTGCTATCACCCCAAGTCAGGGTGGATTTGGGAACCACAGCAATTAAGAGGTAATCCATGCTCCTCAAAACCTTTTGATCAGAAGACCTTGCTGTTGGATGTAGTCATACCCAGGAACATAAAACCAGATGCTCTCAAATTATGTGGTGAAAACAAATGAAAGAAATACCCTACCACCATTTTTTTTCAAAATTTATCATTACAATTACACATCATTATGCATTGAATTTTTATGTTCAGACATTTTTATAAATTTATGAAAAAAAAAAATTGATTTCATGGTTATTTCTTTATAATGTGGCAAATAATAAATATTTCATTGTCATTGGTTCATGTTTTTACAATCTTGTAACTATAAAATTATTCTTGTGAATAAACAATCCAATAAAATAACTACACTATTTACATTGTTCAGACTGTTGTCTTCCTCTTTATTGTCATATTCACAACGTTTCAGCTGTTGTATGCTCCAGCCTTCTTCAGATGTGTTGGAATTTTGAACTGAACCCTTTTAGTCGACCAGCATAGTTACTGAGACATTAGGTTTATAAGTCCCAAAAATTCATTCACTGATATACCCCAAGGACATATAGATGGTGCAATGGATAAAAGCATTGGTCGAAGTAATCCACTGACTTGACCCAAAGAGTTATGAGTTCAATACCTGGTCACAGCAGTGATGAACAAAAAAAAAAAAAAAAACTTGGAGAGTTGAGTTACTTGGAATTAACTGAAACTGAAATATCCAGAAAAGGCATGCCATGTGGAACGAGAACAGTCTACTCACAAGGACTAAATAAAGGGTTTGGTTCAAAATTCTAACATATATCACCTGAAGAAGGCCGGAGAGTGCAATAGCCATAACGTGAATATGACAATAAAGATGAGGACACCAGTCCAAACAATGTAAATAGTTATACTAACTCATCTCACTATAGACAGATCCTGAAGAAAGCCAGACTATACAATGTCCGAAACATCATGAATATGACAATAAAGATGAGGAGACCAGGACAAAGAATGTAAATAGTATAAAATAAAAAGTGTTAAATATTTTTATTAATTCTCAAGATAAAAGAGAATGCATGAATCCAGTTTTATATGTTTGGCTTTTATTAAAATTTTAACAATAGCTTTTAAAACAATAAAAACTGCCAACAGATTTTAAAGTAATAGCAGTGTCCAGAGAAGAACCATTCTTTTGAAAAGACCATTTTTTTCTGCAAGTACAATTGTTAAACTTTATCAAATTCCTCTATTTTGTTCATTTTAACTGGATCAGCTGCTCGGAAAGTTAGTTGACAGTGTTGTGCTAGAAAATTTTTCTTGCCAGAATCTATCTTACACATTTATAAGTTTACCATTTATCCTTGTTTTGAATATTGTTGTTACATCTGATCTGGTGCTTCTGCTATATATTTAGAGATTCTTGATAAAATCCAAAGAATCTGCAATGTTATTTGTCCTGACCTGGCATCTCAGCTTCAGTCACTTTCCTACCACTGTAATGTAGCTTCCCTGTGCCTTTTCTATAAATATTTTTATGGTAATTATTCTGATGTACTTTCTCTATGGTAGTTACACTTTATTAATTTAAACACAATACTAGATTGGCTGATAGGTCTCATCATTTTACAGTCAAAATTGCTAGATGTAACTGTAAATTCTATACAACACTTTTCTTCTCTTGTACTTCTCACTTGTGGAACTTTCTTCCAGCTTCTTGCTTCCCAGTCAACTTTGATCTTCAAAAATTTAAATGCAACGGCAATCATTACATTTTGTCTTCTTAATTCCTGTTCTTTTATTGTTCTTGTTCCTTAATGTTTTTTTTCCTCGTATTCTTTCACAATCTGTAACTCCTTGCATTTTTGGGGGGCTTTATTGACTAGCGTGGAGGGAAATGAATAAAAAAATCGAAAAAAGAAGTTGGACACTATGGGTGGCATCTATATGAAAATCTCAATCTGATGAGGTTATTTAAGAACATGACTCCAGTTTTCAGGTCAATATCTTTGTAACATCTTTATGATGTTGAACAAAAGTACCCCTAGTACTACCTATGCTGTGTTCAGTTTCATTAAAACCAAATTTGTTATAAACTGATTCTGTTACAGAGATATTTATGATTTATCAATTCCACATTCTGAAGTTTTATGACAGATTCAGTGTAAGTGCCGTCAGTACTTTTATTCCAATTCTAGATCATAGTTTCTGTTTGGGAAACATTTATCTAAAGCCAACATTTTGATTATGTCATTATTTTCTCTTCCTGTTACATGAGCTGTCTTGTCGCTGTTGCTGATTTCAGTAATGAATTCACAGTCGGTTACTCTGAGTAAATATCAACCATGACACTCTCTTTCAGAATCTGATATGGAGATAGGGGAAGATGACGATGATGACATTCCAGAAATGAATGAAGATGAAAGCGAAGAAGATTATTTCCAAAGAACTCAAGAATTTTGGATCAACAAGGCACAAGAAGTTGCAGAAGAGGAAAAACAAAATTTAAGTCCTCAACAGGTGAAAAAATTAGCTTTACGCTTGTGTCAGGATGAGATACATAGCAGTTAAAGACAATAAATATGTTACTAATGCTTACATGTCTACTGTTACCATCATGAGTTGAAGAGAGAGGCAACAAAAGAACAATCCTGTGTAGTTCCTTTTTTTTTTTTTTTTGCCCCTTGGATTCAGTGAGATATTTATGTGGTCAAACTTAAATTTTACAATGAAAATAAAATATTTGTTTCTGTTGAAAAATCAATATCATTTTGAAATGAATCAAATTTTTATCATTGCATGAGAAGCAAAATTACATATTCTTACTTCACTGAAGTTGAAGGAAAAAAATATAAAGTTTATTTTGAATTTTAGAAATTAGGAATTATCTTTATAGTACAGAGATTTATTTACATTATATACAAGGTCTGTCTGAAAAGTTACAAGACTTTATCGTTTATATGGTGCGGGGTTAGACGCAGTCTGGGGTTTTCGGTAAATCTCAATTTCCAACAAGAAATCTCTTTGTTGTCAGGCCAGGAAAATTGATTACTTCTGATTTTTGGAAAATTAACCACTTTCCATTGGGGGGGGATCTCCTCGTCCGTGCGGAGAGGTCGGAGGAGAGCTATCCTAAACTCTTCCTCTCTCACATTGATACCTCGTACCAATCTCTTCAGTGGGCGTTAATAACTTCCCCATCTTTCTCATCAAATTACCTCTGCCTATCACCATTGCTACCACTCGACCAATGGCATCCCAGACGTGCGGGTGGGCTAAGCTGGCCTCCTTAAAATTATGACCCAGAATTTTTGTTTACAAAATTCTTTTTTTTTTTCCTATCGGCCAAAATTTTTATGAATCCCACATTGCCACTTGAAATTTCTCAGATATTTTGGTCACTCAGAGTCTTCTTAACCAGCACTCTTTACAAATTCCATCAATCACTTGTCAAAGTCTACCATCTGGTCCCCTCATGAAGTTAGTTTTACTGGAATTAAAATTCCTTATCATGATTCTTCCACGATATCTTTTCTCATGCCCAAAATTTTATAATCACCATATTGCTACTCAACGTGTCGGCACCTGAAGATGACACTTTGGAAAAGTAAATAATAACAATTCTCTCTTCCCTGTATCAGGATAAATTTTTCTCGTGCCAAAATTCCCACAAATACCATATGGCTTTGCTTTGCCAACACTAAAGAAAAAAATGATATCTTGGGAAGATAATTAACATTAATTCTCTTTACCCCATATCGGCAATCATCTCAGGCCGAAATTTTTATGACCACCATATGATCTGCCCGATATCTCAACACTGCTTTTTTCTAAATCTCGTGTTTTTTTCGGCAAGTATTTTTACAAAAAACATTAATCAATTTGTCAAAATCTCACATATGGCTTTTCTATGGGTCTACTGTCTACGCCAATTTACAGGTCTTTGTGAAAAAGGAACTTTTTCAGAAATAAAATAAAATAAAATCTTTTTAACATCAAACAGTATATCTTTCAGGATATCTTCTTTCCATTCTCAGTATTTCTTGTTTTAATTTCTATGGTTAATTAGTTAGCCAATTACCATAGCTAAATAAACTTCAAACTGAGAACTGGCCTATTTTATTGACTAGGAAGAAATCCCAGCATGCATTTGTGTGCTATTGCCTATAAATTGAGGAGGGAAAAGTGTTTTGCAGTCATTCCCATTTCAGTCAGTCGATGTTGGACGACTGGCTGATCGGTTGAAATCTCTTGCCTTTTGGCGGGGAGGAAACCGAAGGAGGCTACGCCGAAGAGCGGATTCTCTTTCGGGGAGGTAAACCGACCCTGAACCCGTTTATACGGGTTCAATGGGCATATTTTTGGCCAAGCCCACCGGCTCGGAGATCCCACGTTAAATCGGCCTTGTGCTACATGATGTCCACGCGGGGGTGGGGTGACTAAATATAGTCATTCCAATTTGGACTGGAACTAACAGAAAGAGACTATTGAATTTGATCCCTATCAAAGTACCAAAGAAATCTTTGAAAGTGTAGAGTGAGTGGCCATTGTTAAATGTAAACAAATAGCAGAACTGCCCAACAAACAACAAAGTTTGCAATAACAAGAAAAGAACAGGACAACAAAAAAATAATATAAAGCAAGCAAACAATATATGCAAGGCAATTTAACATTATAAGTCAAACCAATGGTAATATTGCAAAAATTCACAAATTGGCATTGACACACAAGCAGGTTTGGATAAGTGAATGTAGTGTTCTGACTTCAAGACAAGACAGACCGGGACTTAGTCATGTGAAACTAAGAACTGTCCTATTTTATTGGCTAGGAAGAAATCTCAGCATGCGTTTGTGTGCTTCTGCCTTTAAAATTGGAGAGGGGAAAATGTTTTGCAGTCATTCCTAATCCAAATTGGAACCAACATTATACTTATAATATTACTAAGAAATGAATCTTAATCATTATCTTTCCCACATATCCTCATAAACTGCACCCCTTACTCTTACTTTTCACACAACAACCACCTTCAGTAACCATCTACCTTGAGTGGCCCTTGGACCTTATATAGGTTGAACATTAGAAAAAAAATAGTAAGGAGTAAGATGTTTTATGACTACTACATTGTTACTCATCGTCCCAATAAAAACAGAAAAAATTCAAAACTTGATTTGTGTTGAGCTGACCAAAACGTTTATGCAGTTTATTAAGTAAATTTTCTATTTAATAAAATGATGAACATTTTGGCTAAGCCATTTTATAAACACCATATATACACGTGATGTTTACACAACCAATGAAAACAATTAAAATAGAATTTAAAAATTGAATCATAATTCCACATTCTTTCACTTACCCAAATTTTCTAATTAAGCTAAATGTATAGCGAAACCCGTCAAATTTATAATAAAAATTCCTCCTTGTTCTTTATTTAATCACATTGAAGAGGATATCATATGATAGAATATATCTATTATAAAGTATAACAGAACTTTATTCAAACTGAATATTGGTGTCGTATCCAGATAGCCATTCGTCCAATACGCGTACAATGCAAGGGAAATAACTCCGTCAGATTAATTTTCATAATACTTCATTTTAGCCAACTCATTGGATGCAAAAAAAAACCCCCAAAAAACACGTTGTCTATATTTAGATTTGGGCTTTCAAACCTTTTTGGTTATCAACCTCTTTGTGGAATCCTTGATTCCTCGTTGACGCCCATACATGTACAAAATAAATTTAAATAATAATTTTTTTTTCAAGGGTATAAATTTCTTTTTCCTTTTTTTCTTTCATACTATTTATTGATAAAATTCATATTAGCTTTTTGTTTTTTATTTCCTTTTCAATTTTTATTTCTCTCCCTAAATGAGACGTGTTCAAATATGTGGTTTAAAAGCTTTAAAATAAGCTTAAAAAAAAAAAAAAAAAAGACGCCGCGAGTGGGTGTATCAATGTGAAGTAAGTGGGGCTTGGTAGTTTGAATCTCCTCTGCTTTTCCCAAAATCTCTCTCATCTTCTTTATTCACAAATCTCCATCATCCTCTACATCTCTTAAAACCTTTCCTGTAAATCCTTTTTTAACTAGCACATTGCTTCATCAAATTCGCTGAAATGAACAAAATCGACAACTCCGATTTTTGGTAGAGTTTTATGGTTTCTTTCTTCCTTCCCATAATTTGTCTTTTTCCCCAGTTTGCCATTGTCTCTCTATAAAAGAAATTCTTTTTTTCTCCCCCATCATAAGGTAAGCAACATTCCTTTTTTTCATCTTTCATTCAAACTACAAAATAATAATAATAATGAGAAAAACTGAGCCATAATTTGCATGCGCAAAAATAAAAGTAGAAAATTTGCTAGAACTTTTTTTACCTGTTTGAAAGAAAACAAGTTAATTGCAGAACAAAGAATTTGTGAAGATTGTTGTTGCAATATGACCTTGGCATCCAAAAGTTGTTCTGATGGATGTATTTGAAGATGTCCTAAAACCAGCTGTAATTTTGTTGATTTACATGAATATTTAGTTCATAATCAAACAATAGAGTATAGCAGGCTTTATCTAAAGCATTTTCTCAAAGAAAAAAGGAACCAACAAACATTTACATGAGTGGGAATATATATATATATATATATCTGAATATATATTTAAAAAAAAAATCAAAAAATATATTTTAAAATATATTAAAATTAAAAACAATAAATGATATATATAAGGATAATAATGGACTCTCCCATCGGTTTCGATGTATGAGGATCTGACAGCTTATTGATTCAGTTATGAAAGTTTGTGTGATAATCTTAAGATCCAATAGTGATTTACAAGGGAGGCCACATATGGAGCAAGTGTGAGGATTGTGAAATGAGATCACTGTTAGATTGGCTGACCTTTTAGATCTTGCTTTCGCTTCTTGAAAATGATTCAGACAAGCAGAGTGAAAATTGCTGAGTCCACTAAAACACGTTGATCGCCATTCTACCCGCTCCAAAGCTAAGTGCTCAAAGGGTGTGGCATATTGACTGCTGTCAATTTGCTTTTCAGCTTGTCTTTGTATCTTAGCCATGTGCATTCTACATTCCTGTAGCCCTGATCTAACTGGCTGTACATTAGGATCTTGGGTATCCTGTCATCAGACATTCTCAAGATATGACCAGTCCACCGTAACTGATAATGTAATATATATATATATATATATATATATATATATATATATATATATATACACACACATTTAACACACAAGTATCGGGATTCCAAAGATTTAACAACAACAAGACATCTTTTAAATAAAATATATTAAAGGTTATTTTCTAGTGGAAAAGTAGAAGCAGAACGTCAGTTGAAATAATATTTATATATTCTTTTCAGAAATATACAATAACAACAAAATGTTCAATTTCCCTTGCAGTGAAGTTTGTTTTATAAAGTAATTAAGTGTTTCTAGCCTGGTGTGAGATATGTGGACAGACTTAGTTTATGACAGTCAGCCTAATGTGTTTGTAAGTTTGTAGACAAAGCTTTAGTCAGTAACTGCTGGCTGTCATCTCTTCCATGTGTGTGTGTGAGTGCATGT